GTTATTAAATTCATAACATAGATTCCAAAATCAGGAAAACCAAGTGCGTTAAAACTATTTTGCATTATTCAGATTGGATAATTTCATTGTATACAATATAATGCAAACGTCAAAGAAGAAATGCCTAGTTGGTGCATTATTTGCACCATATGGATTTTGGGTAAATTGACAAATGACAATACAATGCAGACAATTTAAATAGTCATAGAACAGACTGAAGATGATGATTTTTTGCATGACTGTGTTTTAGTTATTTGTTTCAGGTGCATGGACTTGATAGTGGGGAAGCCTAACTGAGCAGCGAAGATGTGAAACACGCTAAAACATAATAATAAGCATGTTCATCTAAGTCGAATATTAAGATAGCATAATTATCTGCTAGTTTAATGAAATAATTTAAAAAGAGTTGAAATCAAATTTGATACATACCAATAGTGAAATGCACATTTAAAGTTAGCAGTAAATAAATATGAAAAAAAAATTGCACTAATAGCAATATTAATATTCTATTTCTATATATTGATAATAACAAAATGCAGCCAGTTGGCCCGGTGGACCTAAAATGAATGTACCTAATTGTCACTTTTGACATTTCAATATCATTCCAAACATCTGGCCAACAAACCAGTCATGTCATATCCTTTTAGTAATAATTCCTGATAGCTTTAAATATAAGCGAATGCTACCGGTAAATACAATCTATGTCTACCTATATAAATTAATACAGTATTTCTGTCATGAAAATTTTTCATCACATCGTAAATTCGTAACTACAAATACTATATCTGTAGTCAAACTACGGTGAGCTTCAAAAATAAAAAAGTTATATTTTTTACTATTCATTTTCACGCATGAATGCTACAAACTGAATAAAACCTATACAGAAAGAACAGAAGCATATAATACACATTACTATAGTTCGTTTCATATAGATTTTGAAATTTATAAAAACTAGTTTTGATATAAACGCACTTTTTCAACCATTATCTCAGTCATTCAATGATCCAAATAATTTAACTACCTGTAATAATAAATGAATTTTAGTCATAAAAATTTTACAGATCCTTTTAGCACCTCACTGATTTTAGCACCTTCACCATAGAAAGACATTTTCACTCCAAAACAATTTGATGATATGGCTATAGGCAAACTGTATAATGAGAATCATAAGTTGTGCTATACTTATGACTTCAAAACTATTAGTTATATTTGTCTGCAATACTAAATTTGTTTCAGATATTTCATTCAAATACATTCAATTTTATTATTTTTAATTTGTCTCAGATGTGCATTCTGATATTCCAAAACTCAATTTAATAACTATTTTATTGCAATATACTATACAAATAATTGATTGCTTGAATATAAAACTCACAAACTTAGATTATGACTTGCTGCAAACATGGCCCGAGTCTAAAAGTGATAATTATGAATTGGGATACCTCTCCAAGGAGAAGAAAGCGATATGGCAAACTAAAAGCCTCTTGTTTGATTGCCAGGCTCGATTTGATGTGGGAATAGCCAAATCACTGGTTTATTGTTTCAGTTGGATGAGATAATAAATGACAGTAATTGAATTTCCAAGTCTGTTGTTGGTTACAGAGTTACAGGCAGTCTACTGTACTACAGTACTAGAACTAAGCATCTATACATGGCCCATAATGCCATAAAGGTTGCTTTAGTATTAAATTCTGAGGTTGATTGAATTTATTTATACTTATCCAATTTAAATTTCGACATGTTCAACCTAGACAATGCAGTTCTCTTGTACAATGTTTCAATAAGCCAATTTTTTCATAGAGAACAGTATCCACATTAAATAACTCCATTTCTGCATTTGCAGGTCATAAATATGTAAATTCTATCCTATCCTCATTGGTTACCGGTATGGTTCACATCAAAAGCTACGGTACCGGTACTTAGCCGTCAAGGTTCACAGGTTTATGATCCGAAGAATTTATGAATAAAGATTTCATTATATCTACATTTACGGTACGATGCCGTTAACTATTAGGCGTACATAATCATATGATTCGAAAAATTTTGTACAGATCATTCGCAATTTATACTTTCCAATTTACCGAAATAATTCTATAACTTTTAAATCCGAACTTCTTCATCCTTTACTGTTAAGAATTTGTTGCCTCTGGAAACTTCCGCGCTGTGAATTAACCCATATATTTCAATACACTTTCATTTTTTCATTGCCAAATAAATTCCAATGCCAAAGCTCAGCGCCGTTAGACAGACGGAAGCGTTGGCGCCAACCACCAGTTAAACTGCTACTTTATATTACGATATGATAAACACTGGACTTCGCACGGCTCTATATCACCATCTCGCGACCCAGCAAATCGTTTTTGTCAAACGATTGAAGTTGAACTCGTAACCACAAATGAGTTGGAGAGCATTATCTTTCCCCGAGCATCGACTTCCTTGTTTACTTCGTGACATTGGCCAATCAGCAAGATGCAAAAAAGTGACGTACCAATGCTCCCCTTTCGCATCCGCTCAGACACTTTCGCATCCGCTCAGACAGATTTTCGAGCGTGGTCGTGAACATTACCTCGTTTTTGAACTCTATTCGTTAGTTTTCAGTTGTGTTTCGGAAACTTGAATATAAATCAGATAATTCAATGATCACTCTGTCTTCCTAAGAGTTTTAATTTAATTGCAGTAATAAAATATTAGTATAGAAATATCTGTGATAGACTAGGCTGAAATTATTTACCGGTACTTTTAAAAAACAGATTGTTGTATGCGATGAATCATAATGATGGTTTGAAACACATACCCCATTTTACAGGCGCTAACTCGCAAAAACACTCCTAAAATAGCCTCGGCAATTTTGCAATGAAAAAGTATAGAAAGAATATTTCGGGGGTCAAAGGTCGTGGAAAGGCTCATACTATATTCGATGTATAAATGATGAAAATTCAAAAATTTCTTAAATGAATGGGAGATAACTATACAACGATAGGTTTATAGAGTATTATAAGAATTTGTTGATAACAAGGAAAAAGGTTTGTTACTCTTCCTTGTTTATTGATCGAGATATTTAGTACCTGATTCGTCTATAATTTGTTTTTCCGTATATTCGTTTGTTTTGCCTTATGTTCTGTTGTCACTGAAAACCAAAATAAACGTAACGTTTACTTTACTCATCCAAACTCAATGCAAAACAAAAACAAACTTAAATGATATTAACTTTGATGGAAACATTCCAATCGGAACTTTGATATACAGTATAGGCTTTGTTGATGTCGAATGGAACTCGATCTACTTTTTATATATTCAATCCGTGCCTTGCTGCAAGTTTTTTTTACATGCGTCACCAAACTACCAAACGTATTATGCGGCTTTGTAGCACGTGAAGTCTACTGGGGGTTTCCCGCCGAGCATAATTAATCCTGAAGTAGTACCTCTGCAATTACAAATATTGAGCTGCAATGTTCATATTGGAATCGTTTGGTGAAATTACAATATTCCTATGTCGCTATCGGATCATGTGATTTTCGGTCTCTTACGCCTTATCAAGTTTGCCACGCGGGTCGAACATTTCAAAGTTCCTGTACTGAAGATATATAATATTTTTTCTTGAGAATTTCAAAACCTGTTTTCTTGATATGCCAAGCCATCATCGCAGTTATGGAGGCATTCAATATTAAATATCATTATGAGTCATTGCAAATTAGGGTTGCCAACCGTCCTTTATTTCAAAGTCCTTGTCCGTTTTAGCATTTAGAAAATATGCTAATTGTTCTTTATTCTTTTCAACGTCGTTTTGCCCGATAGTTATAGTACTGTGTTTGATATTGTTCCGTTCTTAAAAAATCGCCTCCGTTTATGTATTTGCAAGCTTTTAATTATTCTTTTCAATTTCGCTTTGGTCCGGCTCGAATAGCCAGAGAAATAATAATTTTATTACCATTTCAAATATTTTACATTAATTTTCTGAAAATGGCACCACTCCTAGATTTCAGTAAATTTTAGTTCGATAACTGAAAATTCTACGTATAATTGCGGTCTATGACGTCCACAATCCAACAATGCTGTTTTTGTATATGCTTGTGAAAGGAACAGATGCTCCATACAACTAAAGAAAAGTGAGCTTTGCCTTTAAGTATATATACTTTAACTTGAAAGACACGTGTCGTGTCGTGAATTTTCGGAAAAAATAAAACGTGATCCACAATTGCTGAAGTCAGCAAAGAGTCAGAAGAAATATAACTTTAGGAATTATGCAACAAAATTAGAGCTTGTTTGGGTCAATGTTAAATAAACATCAAATGAGAAACACGTGAAGATTTTTTTGAAATATCTTTTTAGCTTGTATATAATTTTTATTTCATAGTTTGATATTGTTATTTCCTGCAAGTTACAAAATAAACGATGACGGCAATTTATGTCCTCTATTGAAACTTTTCATAGTTGGCAACCCCATTGCAAATACGAAATTCGACTCCGAGACCCGGGACTGCGCCAGTGCTTCAATTTCACGCTTTGGCCAACGCACAGAAACAACATCGACCTTCACACCGATAATGAGTAAATAAAAATAATGTGCTTTGTTTATATTTAATATGAACCGGACGCACACACGCCTCATTGTGGCAGGCATTAGATAAGATAAGAATAGGAGTTGCGAGTGCGCCATAATTAGAAGTCTATTCTGGCGATTATTCGTAGGCGGAAATCAATGCAATCCCCACAATATCGGAAATGTGTATATATTTGGCCCACTAGAACATTATGTAGAAACTCGAAGTCGCCTACTTCAGCAGCTGATAACAGGCATTTGTATGTTAACCTGGTCGTGTTAATTCTCGTCAGTAAATATAGAATTACCCAAGCAAGAACTCTTGTGAGTCATTTTTCACTTTTGTCTCTATGTACCCACTTCAATTTTAGATTCCTAGTATCCACCAGCATAACGCTTAAAATATCAGCTCTCCCAGCTATTCTTTTCCATCTACCCATTCATTGCAACTCAACGCATACACAGTTATTTATGTGTAATATCATTGATAGAAAATAGCAAAATCACAATAGAGCAATAATGAAAATAATCCCAATAAATACATTTGATCAAGTAAAGTGTATCTTTCTATAAGCTAAATAAACTAGTTTTATTGCGCTTCATTATCACACCATGGAAAATATTACTATAGGGTTATTACAGAACAGAATTGTTAACATTTTAGTTTAAAAATTTAGGTGCAATGACATATATATATATATTTGTGATTTTTCTAATACGAGTACAATACTATTCAGATGACAAGTGCAACTACCTGGACGTAACAAATGATTTCAACTATTTCCTACCATTTGGCACGCTGTGCCAATAAAATTGAATCGAACAAAAATTCATTTTTGAATAGTTTGTTTGCATTTATCATACCATATAGTTCTCCGAGACTATCTATGCTCGTTTGTTGGGGCCTTGTTCTACCCGATAAAAACTTGAATTTCTTTCATTGCGACAAGAGCAAAATAGACGGGAGACTGCTTTTCTAAATCTCTTGTCCCGAAAACTGTATATTATGGCGTTCATAAAACTAGAAAAAAAGATGAAAACAAATGGCAAAAATGATATTGCCATGACTGACCAAAGCCAGGTAACAACACGATAATTTTATTCAAGTGATAAAATGTTGAGTAAATCTTTGCTAGTAAATGAGTTACCTAATGAGAATCTTAACCTCAAGCGCATTCACTGAACAACTCAGCCATCCTGGAGAAAGGGCAAATGTGTAAAATTCATACTTCCATTCATCGAAAATGACGATCAAATCGGAGACGCAGTCGCAACTACAGAGGATTACAGTAGAGTGGTCAGCCTCACAGTGATTTCCCTACATCCCCCTGTAGGGGTTTGTCACCTTCTTTCCCCTTGGAGAGTGACACTATATTTCAATCCCTAACTTAAATACAATGGTATTCTAATATCTAGAAGCCTTTTTTGTAAATTTTTCCTCGAGTTGTTTTGTTTTTTTATTATATTATATGATTTTAGTACAGTTGCGTTTGCTGGAAGTTTTTCAATCGCCAGTTATATAATAACGAGTGTTTGTCCTTTATTGTGTGATAATAAGTGTTTGTACTGCCGACGCATCTGAAGCGTCGACTGATTACGATATGCCTCGCTGATTTCGTTTTCCTCGTGTTATTTCTAGGGCTGGGCATTTCGAATCGAATATTCGAATCGAATCGAATAGTAAATTATTCGAATCGGTTCAGACGGGAATTTCGAATCGCCGCCATCTTGTTTTTTTTTTCTGTCCACCAATGGTCGAGGCGATTTAACGATTTTTTTTTTGTGGAGCCATCTCTCGGCGGGACATTTCGATCGCTGTTTTTTTTTTTTTTATTTCTCTCACATCTGTAGGCGGCGTTTGAACATGTCCAGACTTGCACCTCTCCAAAGCCCTCTCTCTGCTCTCAGCTGTGAGCAGGACAAACGGCCGAGCTTCTCTCTCATATTATCTCTCGCACTTGCTACGCCGGCGTGATTTTGTCACGCACGCTTTTATGGCGCGTAATTTGTTCAGAATGCGGGAAGATCGGTTGCGCCGTCAGTTAGGATAGGCAGTTGTAGGACAGGCAGTTGTACACTTGCGTATGTTTTTGTGATTGCCGACATTGCAAGTGAGAAGGTATAGAAGACTAATTTGCTTGCTTTTTTTGCAGAATTATTGTGTATTTTTAAAGGGGTTTCTAGAATATTGTATACCGGTACTCGGCAACAGTACGGTATGATGAATAGGAAATCTCCCGTTTGGCGCCACTTTACTCCCCCAGCCAAAGACGATGACGAACGCCAGTACGTCGTGTGCAAGAGATGCGGAGACAAACTTAGTTACCATGCTACCACTAGTAATCTATTAGCCCATATTAAAAGAAGGCATGTAACTATTTGTTTGAACCCTGATAATCGAAGTGATTTGGACGAGTCCTCCAGTAAACAGTCCAAATTGGAACTTATTCGTCCCATCCTCCCTGCTCAGCAAGAAAAGATTACTTCTCTAGTTGTGGATTTTATTGTAAAGGATATGCGCCCGCTCAGCACAATAGAAGGAACACATTTCAAGCGCTTAATGGGACATGTTGCACCAAATTATTCACTGCCATCCAGGAGGACCATAACACGACGTGTAGAGGAAGAATATTGTGAAAAAAAGATGGAGCTTAAGAGAGTTCTTGAAAACATTAAGCATATGAGCTTGACTTTCGATGCTTGGACTAGTGTGAAAATGGAAGCATATTTGGGCATTACAGCCCATTATGTTGATGCCAAATTTAATCTGTGTTCATGTGTGTTAAGTGTGAAACCTTTGGATGATAGACATACTGCAAAAAATATTTGTGAGTGGGTAGAAGAAGTTCTCAATGACTTTGGTGTTAGTCCTCACGCTGTCTGTGCGGCAGTAAGCGATAATGGATCTAATATGAAGGCAGCCAAAGATATTTTTCATGAAAAATTTGGTTGGGCTAGTGTTGCTTGTGCAGCGCACACTCTCCAACTTTGTTTAAACAAAGGATTGGGAATAAACGGCATAGAAAAACCTCTTGCAGCAGCTCGACGACTAGTGCAACATTTTAAGAGAAGTGAATTGGCGACCAGTGCACTGGGGAAAAAGTGTGAGGAAATGAAGCTTACCTCCAAAAGACTCATAATGGATGTATCCACAAGGTGGAACAGTACTTACAACATGCTTGTAAGGTTGCAGGAATTGCAATGGCCAATTTTGGCTATACTTGGAAATAAAAATATCACAAATGCCACCAAAGCCTCCGCTCTTACAATCAAGCCTGGGGACTGGGAGATTTTCAAGCAGTTGATTCCAGTACTTGAACCTTTTGCAGAGGCTACTGATCTTTTAGGAGGCGAAAAATATGTCTCGATATCGATAAAGAATCCATACATCAAGGGATTGAAAAAACATCTGTCACGCGAGAAAGATGATGAACTTTTGGTAATCCGGCAGTTCAGACAAAAAGTAAAAGGCGAAATGGAGGAGCGATTTCCTATTGATCTTAATGATATCAGCTCGAAGGCAATGGCTCTGGATCCCAGATATAAACTGCGGGGACTTCGTACTGTGGAGTCACTTCAGGTAACTTGTTATTTCTTCCTGAATAATTTTTTATCTTGCCAACAAAATTGCCCTACATGACAAACAACATAGCATGTTATTTTGGTTGGAATGAGGTCAAATTGAATTTTCGTGTATCTTCATGTTTCAAATGCATTGACAGGATTAGATAAAATTCATGACATATCTGCATCGACCATATCTAAAGATATAGAGTTGACTTTTTCCCCACTGTATAATAAACATTAGTGAACAATGACTTGTTTGATGTCAATTGTGGTTCCTAAATCGCAGATTTCCATAAGAAAACTAATCTAAAATATTCCTGTATTCAAAACTTGTCATTTATTGAATGCATAAAATTTCAAATTTATCCAAATGTTGCTTGTTTTGGCCATACTTAATAAGGATTCCTAGTGGATCTGGCTAAAGTTTGTTTTCTTTTTTGACATGCTTATTTTTTCCAGCTCAAAAGTGCAATCGAATTGGAACTCACAGTCTTATTTGAACAAACAGTTGTTGAAAAAGCTGAACCTTCATCTTCTTCAGTTCAGCAATCGACATCCATCATAAGCCTTGCCTTCGAATCATCAGAGTCCGATGACAGTGCAGATACTGAGGTCCCAGTGGTTGCCAATGAAGTGAACAAATTTTTTAGTTCCAAAGTACTTTCTGAATGTTCAAACCCCCTCACTTGGTGGAAAGAGCAAAACGCTAATTATCCAAACTTGAGCAAGCTTGTTGGCAAATATATGTGTGTAACAGCAACATCAACCCCAAGTGAGCGATTATTTTCTGCAGCTGGAAACACTGCCACTGAGCTCAGATCAAGCCTCACCGGATCACATGTGGAAGCTCTTGTATTTTTAAAATGCAATTCTGACATATGACTTTTTCCTTCCCATTGACTTATTGATGAAGCATGTTTCTTATCATATGTGACAACTTAGCAAATGACTGAGTGATAGATTTTGTGTTTTTGGGATTTCATGTATCTGAAGGACCCATTGCAATAAAAAAAAGTCACATGTAATTTTGTAGTTGCTAATTTGGTAAAATTTTTATAAGTATTCGAGATTCGATTCGATTCGAAAAAAATATTCGATTCGATTCTGAAATCATCAGGTATTCGAAAATGCCCAGCCCTAGTTATTTCTCTCGCGCAATAGCGCGTGTTATCGTGGATAATAAATTCATTCCTGTTTTGGATTTCATACAAGACGTTGCTTGTTTTTCTGTGTAAGGTCTTTGGCATTGTAAGATAATTACGACCAATTACTGGCGTGGTGGCAGCGAAGACGAATTCTACGCTGTATATCTCCTATACTGAGGTTAACAATGGCAGCTGTTAAAGCACCCAAGCAGTGGCCTCTGAAGAAATGTGAGACAATCACTTCCTTCGAAACATGGAGACAAAATCTGCTATACACTTTAGCCCTGGACAATAACTTTACGCCTTTTCTTGCCCCTGACGTCCAATGGGAGAAACAAACCAAAGCTAACCCACTGAGAGGTCTGACCGATGATGGAGAGGCAGTAGCTGAAGACCGCAGAAAGTCGGCAATTCAAAAAAACGCCACTTTAGAGTTGATGCTCGGACAAATAGCAAATTATTGTCCGATTATGTCTCGCAACACCATCGTCAAGAATTCCACATTTTGAACTGTATTTGGCAAGCGCTCCGCATGCATTTTGGGTTCCATACTACCGGCGCCCATCTCCTGGAGTTAGCCAATATCAAACTTGAAGATGGGGAAAGAGCAGAAGACCTTTACCAACGCCTAGTGTCTTTTTTTGAAGACAACCTCGCTACCACAATTAGCTCAATTACTCATCACGGCTCTGTGCCAACGGAAGACGAAGACTTAACTCCTACCTTGGAAAATACAATCGTTTATTTCTGGTTGTCTTTGTTGCACCAGGATTTACCAATGCTCGTTAAGCAACGTTATGGAACTGAGCTGCGTTCTCGCACACTAGCTTCTATCAAACCTGAAATTTCAGGAGCGCTCGAGTCGCTATTAGACGAGCTGGCCTCCATGGAATATGCCAAAGTGTGTAGATCTCTTCACTCTCAAAAGTTGAATTCAAAGAAGGATAGTTCCAGCCGCCGCAACATTAACATACGTCAATCATGCCCTCTGTGCAAGGAAGGGGGTCGACCATTCAAGCATTACCTGAGCCGCTGCCCTTTCCTTCCTGACAACGATAAGCAATTCATGGCTAAAGCACGTATGATCAGTACGGATCACGATGACATGGATCCTTTGGTGGACATAAGTTCAGCATCTTCTGACTGTCCTGAGGTAAATTCTAACTCTAATCATTATATTTACCGCTCACGACGTGTTAACATATGCCATTGCCCTCACCTGGTCTTGTACTGTAAAGGAAAACCCATCCGTGTCGTGCTTGACACTGGTGCTGAGTGTAATATGATATCTCTATCCCTTGCTAGTCTTTTGGGCGCCAAAATATCAAAGTGCTCTCAAAAAGCTCTACAGGCTGACGGATCATCATTTTTAAATGTACTTGGCGAAACAGCTATTACCCTATCACTTGATGCTGTTTCTATGCCTTTTAAAGCACTGGTAGTTCAGCATTTAGATTCCGACATTTTGGCTGGCACCCCGTTTATGGTCGAGAACGATATCATTTTGCGACCTGCAAAGCATACCATCAGTATTCGCAACCTTCCTCCACTGCCATATGATGATAAACGTCTCAATAGTGAGGCTAGTCACCCGCCTCATATTATTAGACACTCCAGCAAGTCACGCGTCCTTTGGCCTGGCGAAACTATGACAGTTCCCTTACCAAATCATTTGCTTGATGTTGACGAGGTGGCTGTCGAGCCTCGCATCGATTGTCAGTCCGTTACCACTGAAAAATGGTTAACGCCTTGCATTGCTCCCCGCCATAACGATTACATCCTTATTCAAAATTCATCATGCGAACCTGCACGTATTGACAAGCATCAACAATTCGCCCAACTTTTACCTGTTATATCTCAACAATCCATTACCCAGTCTACCAACCATAATTCCTTCGTTCGACCATCCCCTCCGTTTGCAACCAACATAAAAGTCGATCCTGAACATATCCTGCCCTCAGACGTTGTCGCAAAATTTCAACACTTACACCAAAAGTTTGATAGCGTGTTTAACCCGAGCCCTCCCGGTTACAATGGAGCTGTTGGTCCCTTCAAAGCTGTGGTTAATATGGGACCTACCCAGCCCCCTCAACGGAAAGGTAGAATACCTCAATATTCGCGTGATAAATTAGTTGAGTTACAGCAAAAGTTTGATGAACTTGAGGCATTGGGTGTTTTCCAAAAACCAGAATGCGTTGGGGTCACTGTAGAATATTTAAACCCCTCCTTCTTAGTCAAGAAAGCCTCGGGGGGTTATCGTCTAGTCACTGCATTCGCAGACGTTGGGAGATACTCAAAACCACAACCTTCCCTTTTACCTGATGTTGACTCTACTCTGCGCAAAATTGCATGTTGGAAATACATAGTCGTGTCGGATCTCACAAGTGCCTTCTATCAAATCCCACTTGAAAAGAAGTCTATGAAATATTGTGGTGTGGTAACACCATTTCGTGGTACCCGGGTATATACCAGATCTGCTATGGGAATGCCTGGATCTGAAACTGCATTGGAAGAGCTTATGTGCCGGGTTTTAGGTGACCTATTACAGGCTGGTATCGTAACTAAAATAGCAGACGATTTATACTGTGGGGGAAATACTCCTGAGGAATTGCTCCGTAACTGGAGTAGTGTGCTTTCTGCCTTATCAAAATGTGGTTTATGTTTATCTGCTTCCAAAACTATTATAGCCCCCAAGTCAACCACCATCCTTGGTTGGATATGGTCAGAAGGCATAATTAAAGCATCCCCACATCGTATTGCCACATTATCCACATGCGACCCACCTAAAACTGTAGCAGCTATGCGGTCCTTTTTAGGAGCTTACCGTGTTCTTGCTAGAGTCATACCCAAATGTGCAAATTTTTGTGTGACCTACAAAAAGTCACTGATAACCGTGCTTCCCAAGAAAGTATTTTGTGGAATGATGAGCTACGTCAAAGTTTTCACTCTGCTCAATCTCATTTATCTAGCAACAAGTCTATAACATTACCAAGACCCAGTGATTTATTGTGGCTAGTTACTGATGGTTCAGTTTCACATCCGGGTTTAGGAGCCACACTGTATATTACACGTGAGGGCGAGACACACCTTGCTGGTTTTTTTAGCGCTAAACTTAAGTCTCGCTTCACTTCCTGGATTCCATGCGAAATCGAGGCCCTCAGTATTGCATCTGCTATCAAGCACTTTGCTCCCTATATCATCCAATCTGCAAATACTACACGGGTTCTAACAGACAGTAAGCCTTGCGTTCAGGCCTTTCAAAAGCTATGCCGAGGAGAGTTTTCAGCTAGCCCAAGACTCTCAACATTTTTATCAGTCACAAGTCAATATCAAGTCACCCTGGAGCACTTAGCGGGTTCTAAAAATCTCCCCTCAGATTTTGCTAGTCGTAATGCACCGGAGTGTTGTACTAATAACTGTCAAATTTGTGCTTTTATTGATGATATCAAGCAACAACCTGTCATGCGTGAGGTTTCTGTTCGCGACATTTTATCAGGCCACACTAAAATGCCGTTTACTTCTAGGTCTGCCTGGCTTACGATTCAAAAAGAATGTGCGGATCTTCGGCGGGTCCACGCTCACCTACAACAAGGCACCAGACCATCAAAAAAATTGACTAAGATCATTGACGTGAAACGTTACCTCATGCATGCCACTATTGCTAGTGATGGATTACTTGTTTATCATACATCTCGCCCTTTTTCCTCTCGCCAAGATCGTATTATTATTCCACGTCATTTCGTTGATGCTATTTTAACTGCTTTACATATTCAATTAGAGCACCCCTCCGCTCACCAATTGGCATCTGTATTTAATCGTTATTTTTTTGCTCTTGATTCTGATGCTATGATTAAACATGTTTCTAATGCCTGCCATCAATGTGCCTCCCTGAAAAAGTTTGTGTCCCGCCCCATACCACAAACTACCAGTGATAACTTACCATCCGTCGGATCAATGTTTGCTGCAGACGTTATTAAACAAAGAAAACAATTGATATTAGTCATACGAGAATGTGTTACCTCTTTCACACGAGCCTGCTTAATTGAAAATGAAAGAGAAGAGACTTTACGTAATGGTCTTGTGTGTTTAACTTTGGATATGACCCCTCTTGATGGCCCACCAGCATTAATACGCACAGACTCTGCTCCTGCCTTTGCTTCAATGGCAAAAAATAACAGACTAGCCAAGCATCGACTTACACTCGAACTTGGCCATTCGAAGAACATCAATAAAAATCCCATTGCTGAAAAAGCCGTACAAGAAGTGCAGGAAGAATTACTAAGACTTGCACCGGACAATCAGCCTGTTTCTCATGTCACATTATCAGTGGCCCTTGCTAATCTTAATTCACGACTACGCAAGAGGGGATTATCATCACGGGAAATGTGGACCCAAAGAGACCAATTCACTAATCAACAAATTCCTATGGAAGACAGACACATGATTGAAAAACAATATGCTAGTCGACTCCAGAACCATAAGCCCAGCCAAAAGTCAAAATGCCGTAACCCTATTCCTATATCTCCCATGATTCGTGTAGGTGATCTTGTATATTTATATGCTGACCGCAAAAAAACTAAAGCCCGGGACAGGTACTTGGTTGTGTCTGTCAATGGTGACTGGTGTAATATAAAAAAATTCATTGGTAATCAGCTTCGAGCCAATTCGTACAAAGTTCGAAAGTCTGATTGTTTTTTAGTTTCACCCACATTACCTTCCCCTTCCCAAGTTATACCAGATACCACAATCAATGACGAGAACTCTGAGGATTTCTATCCTCCGCTACTACCAAGCTCATTTGTAGATTTACTCCCCCAATTACCTACTGCGAATGTTCCCCCTCCTGGACCACCAGAATTATTTTTGCAAGATGGCCCAGCACCACAATCTCGCTACCCCCGTCGTGAGCATCGTAAGCCTTCATATTTGAGTGATTACATTTTAGAATAAGCCCGGTTTTGCATTTGTTTTGATTACAATTTCGTTTACTATGGCATTCGGTTTTTAAGTGACCTATACTTTCTCGTCATTCTACTAAGTTTTAGCAATGTTTTTCATAGTAATACCCATTATGGAGCGAAGGAGAGAAGGAGGGATGCGCCAGTTATATAATAACGAGTGTTTGTCCTTTATTGTGTGATAATAAGTGTTTGTACTGCCGACGCATCTGAAGCGTCGACTGATTACGATATGCCTCGCTGATTTCGTTTTCCTCGTGTTATTTCTCTCGCGCAATAGCGCGTGTTATCGTGGATAATAAATTCATTCCTGTTTTGGATTTCATACAAGACGTTGCTTGTTTTTCTGTGTAAGGTCTTTGGCATTGTAAGATAATTACGACCAATTACTGGCGAATAATCCAAAAATCAAAATATGTTCACTATAACGATTATTGCGTAGTTAATGTTTATAGCAAATGTAGTTATTTTGTACACTGAACCAGTAACAGCGCGTTAGGTGTTTGAAGACCTAACAAGGTTCCTCGCGACTCCTGTCGCACAACTAACATTATTGGACACGGAGTGGACATAACGGTCGTTTCAAAATTTTGTTGTTATTGTTATTATTTGTCTCCGTCAACACGTTTTGAAGAAATCGCTTTTCTCTTCGAATACTGGACCAATTGCTTTGAAATTTTCAGTGGTTAAAGATAAAAATTTTCTCCAGAAGGCTATTACTTTTTTTCGCTATGACGTCATCAAAACTCTACGTGTCCATATATTTGAGCATAGCTCTCTTGTTATTATATTTATTTCCTGTACCAATTTTTTGTGCATTTGTTGTGTTTGTGATGACGAATAAATGATTGATTGATTGAAGGTGACATGTATATTAGTGCAGATGGTCAGTCAAATACATAACAAATTAGTTATAGTTTACAAATTGTTATATCAATAATAGCAAAATATCAACCACACCAAAAATTAGGAAACCACCCCCTTCCCCCCCATTTCCACCTAAATTGAAAAGCCGGGGAGCATACTGAAACCTCCCCAATTTGATATGAGTATTTAACGATATTTATAAACTGCAAACACATTTTAATCAAAGAATATATATATATATATATTATTATACTTCATTTTCGTAGCAAGCAAATTGCGATGCTTGAATCCTTAGTTTTAGGATGCTTCATATCTTATCAAGTCTTTCATTAGGACAAGTTCACTTCTCAGAAAGTGATAAAAAAATTAGGTTCATACCTGTTTGTTAAGCTTCCGTAAAATGTAATGGCATACGGGATTGAAAAATTTGAACAATCCAACGTTTCATTCATAAACAGAAACATAACAACAGCAAAGGGCACTGAAATATAAGAAACAGCAAATAAAAAGCAAAATACATTTTATGTTTGTTCTGTTTTCCCATTATCAAAATTTACTGCATAATTCATAAAGCGGAAATCAACTGTGTGAACTCTGTTTATGCTACCGCAGATCAGAAGGCACTTAAGAAAATCTAACCACGGATTCAGGACTGATTAAAATCGGGAATAAATTTTTAACGAGTTTTACGGCTGTGACTGCGTGGGATGAGTCACTTTAACCGCAGGTCGGTTATTTTCGGATTTCTCCAAAACTACCATGCATGAATCTCAAATGAATAACTGGTTAACTATCAATATTGAACACGTAGTGAACCTATGGATCGTTTTGTCATTATATTGGTTTGTTCTTGTTGTTTTTATTGGTTCATTTTTTTCTCGACATAAATTTGAAACCCCATCGCATGAAAAAAGTCTTGTACACGTTTTCTGTCCCATTTTTTCAAGATACTTAGTCTATACATAGTCCACGATATATACTCACGTAAGGTTATTGTAAATGCAGCAATCATTATAAAGAGAGTTATTAGAACGGACACTTTGGGTTGGATGATTCGTTTGTTAATCGACGTTTTCTGTTTTTCTTTGGTACTCTTTTTGCCCTTCGTATTCCTAGTGTTGCGTTCAGTTCTTTTACAGAGTTCCGCTTCTTGTCGCACAAAACCTCGATAAGCAATAATCCCGGCACTGGTGCAAAATATAAGCTGAATAAATAAGTATCAATATTTGACAGTAGATTGAGAGAATGACATGGAAAATGATATTATTCAACCTAAATGATGAAATCTATATGCCAAGTACAGCGCATATGAAATAGTAAATGAATACATGTTGTACAACAGATGTGGAAACCAACTACAACTAGAGCAACAAAAAAGGCCTTGCAATTTAATCAATATATGAGTTGAATAAAATTACCTTCAAAATCGTACTAAAAATAAACTGAGCTGGAACTATAGTGTTGTTTGAAAGCAAAATACTTCTTTGACTCAAATTGGAGATCGAATTAAGATACGAATGAATCATTAGGTCTCATTTACACGGGATAAAAGAACTAGTTTAAATAATGTTTGCTGCAGGCACTTCGTTTGATATTTGTAGAATGCAGAAGTTGTGCAAACGAATTAAAAAGTCTACGAGATGCTGAATTCTATTTTTCAGTTGTTTTAGAACAAGTTTATTAATATATATCAAAATTATTTCCAAACAACGTTTTGTCAAAGATTGACAATAATTATGATAATTTCTTTTGGTAAATTATACTTACCGTACCTTTGGACGTATACAGTGTACTTGATTTGCCATATAATATATATATAGTTAAATAAAAAAATTCTATGAATAGGGTTTTTGAAGAACTCTCGAACACTATAAGACCATACACTTACCATCAATGCATAGGGCAATAGTATGGTAACAACTACGTAACTGATTCCGTGATATCCGAGTTGTTCAAGTACTGAATCGCCTTCTGCTGGTCTCATTGTAATGACGTGTACGAGAAGAGTAGGTTGGAATTCATAATCAAACCACGCCGGAAAGGCAGCTGTGTTTAAAAAAACGCAATGTGTTCGATAATAATGTTTACGTGGACTATATTAGTGCATGATGGCTGATAAAATAATGTTTTGGATAATCCGGGCCGCGTGCACTACCGCAGCATTCGGTGTTTAATAATTTTAACCAGAAAGAGGTATTTTAGTAACTTTGACAGTAAAAATAAAGTGTAATTTAAGCAGGTATAGTTTTCCTTTTTTCAGCAGGTATTGAATAGATCTGAATAAGGTTTGGTGAAATTTAATTTTCTCTCGTAAACGGCAGTCGTTCACCTTCAGAGCAAATGATTAGTACAACATGATATACCTAAACTAAAGAAATAAAAAAATGACTATAATAAGTATCAACCATGCAGAGAATATACATACCGTATTCCCTCGAAAATAAGACCCAGCCTGAATTTTAACAATGATTTCAATATGAGCCTTCACCTTCAAATATAACCTAGTCAATAGTTCGGATTTTTTTTGGCCTAGTCGATAGCAATAAATCTCTCTACACGTTTTAAATGATTGGTCATTATTGAATAATCCACGTTTAGCAGCTTTATTAAATGAAACGTGTTGTTTATAAGTAAACGAATTTCGGTTTTCATATTTTGTATTTTTGAAAATCTCGTAATTCTCTACTTTGTAATTTTGTTTTTGATAAATGAAAATAAAAGACATCCCCCGAAAATAAGCCCTAGTGTTATTTTTCGTATGTGTATCCTGGTTCCATTACATTTGAACCCACGTACATTTGAACCCATGACAATTGCACCTGTATGCTATTGCACCTATGGAACTTTTTTTGTTTCACGGATAGTTAAACCCATACTAGCCCTAACCCATGGGTTTTAGCACCCGCATATAGATTGAACCCGTGGATATACGCATGGGTTCAAATGTACATGGGTGTACGGTCACCGTGTATCCTATTTTCCTTATTTTAGTTATCTTACAAGTTCTGGGTGTTAGCCAAGTGAATATCCCCCTGCACATAGATTTCAGTCCCTTCACACAACTTGATGTAAATTGGGCGAACAAAATTAGTTACCTTAATATTGGTACACATACTTCTAGAGCGCCGAAAATTGAAATAAGTCCTATTTTCGGGGAAACACGGTACATTCATGAATATTCAGAGAATATATTATTAATAAATGTTTTATTTGAACTTGTACTTGCCTGGTATAAAAACGAAGGATAGAGATATAATCCATACCAGTAGAAGAGTTAAGCAAATACTACGTGTTTTTCTTGTTTGATGCCAAAACGGCCACCTGAGAGCGATAAAGCGTTCGAAACTGAGGAACAGCAGATGAAGTATCGTTGCCTATAGATTGTATATACACATGTATTGCCTAATCTAATACATAATGTTACGTGTTTGTCGTGTCGTGGAGTATAAATAAGATGATGGGACTGTGTGGAACTTGAAAGATGTAATTGTTGATGGAAGGTGTCTCTGGCTATTTTACATTTTTATTTCAAATTCTCTCTCTGTAATCTCGTTTCTTCCCCGAATTTACCTGCTTACATAATCCACAGACATAACTTCATATGATAAAGTATCGTTGCCTATAGATTGTATATACACATGTATTGCCTAATCTAATACATAATGTTACGTGTTTGTCGTGTCGTGGAGTATAAATAAGATGATGGGACTGTGTGGAACTTGAAAGATGTAATTGTTGATGGAAGGAGTCCCTGGCTATTTTACATTTTTATTTCAAATTCTCTCTCTGTAATCTCGTTTCTTCCCCGAATTTACCTGCTTACATAATTCACAGACATAACTTCATATGACATTCGGTAAAATCATTTGGTATTTCTTTTTTACCCATATGTTTAAACATTGCTCACATGTTAAAATACACAAAAAAATGAAAATTACTGGTGCTTTAATAAACTAATAATGAACACAAATCGTTAATAGTTACCTGTAGGGATATCATAATAAAAGATCCAGAGACTATTGCTTTAATAGAATTTCTGTCATCTAGTATGTAATCAACAACTTCACGTTCGGTTTTATATCTCATCCATAGCATATTAGGAATTGTAGTACAAAGCATCACAATTCCACTGAGCAAATCAGCAAGCGCTAAGGATACTAAAATGAAATTTAGAAATGATACCAATGAAAATGATGAAAGTATGATTTTACATGCGTTTCAAATTTGAGAATATCACCACCCGGGAAGAACATGGTAATAATTCAAGTCGCTTGCCATCACAACTTATAAAAAGCAATCATTCCAATGTAGCCTATGTGCCAAAATAAGTCTGAAAATTACAAAATTTCAGACGCTGTGTTTTCAATGTATTTTTTAAAGGATCTCTCGATTTATTCACGATAACACTGCAAAATATAAGCCCACTTTCAAAATGGCGAGGATATAGACCAGGGGTGGCCAACCTGCTTTCGACCGCGATCGAGTAAAATCTTCAAAATAGATCGCGATCGATTGATCGGTTATAATGTCCTACACAAAAACGAATGGGCACTGAATGTGCAAATAACTGTAAGCACACACGCATACAAAAAATTCGAAAAATCGACACAAAATTTGTATTTTTTATATTCCATTTAGGTTGTTGATTTGAATATTTAATTGTACCCGGAATAAATGTTTCATTATTTATTTAAGATTTATTTAAATCATACAATTCAGATAAAAGACGTGCCTAATTTTTAGTCGTAAGCGTTGAAAAAAGTGCTTAGTCGTAAGTGTTGAAAGAAATCTTGCCAAGTATTATCCAAACAACGAAAATAAAAATTCTTAAACCATAAATGTTACATGACTGGTCAAACTTCAGTATCTAATTTACAATTTCCTCCAAACGCGATTCTTCGCTTGCTTAAAATTAGAACGAATTGGGCATTTTGATGCCACTGATACCATTGCGAATAAAATTCATCACACTCCTCTTGGAGTGAGACAATATAGCGGAAGTTATTGTAGCATCGTTTGTCTGTCCAGACCAGGGTTACCAGATCCCAGTAATGAACAAAAGACAAATCACGACAGAAAAAAGCCAACAATTTTAACAAGTACAAAAACCTCATGATTTGACAGATTTGACACTCATAGCACAACAGTCGATTTGCACAGTTCGCAATATGCTGATTTAAAGTCACCAATTGATTTAGTGAGTCACATCAAATGCTAAATCCTACTAAAATGTGTAGTTTTGGTTGCTAACATTACGATTTCCATTTCAGCACGATCAAGGGTTTACAACTGAGAAGGATTATTGAATGGCAGAATTAGAATGTATATCCGACATAATACAGTCAAGCTGACATCTACAGAAAAAATTTAAAAACAATAAAAAGTCGAAAAGGGAAATATTAAGCGGACAGCACTATTTTTTCAATACAGATATATCCAATACACTACGTATACAGCTTTAGGACGAATAAATGTACATGTTTCTACTTTAACTTGCGATATATATAGCTCGGAAAATTCTCCCGATATTTTACTATTGAAATTTTCTTCATGATTGCTTTGAAGTGTTGGCGATTATAAACTGGTTCACATATTTGAAGGCAGCATTTTTACTCAAATTATTCAACCACGTGCTGCTTGCACAGATAGTCTACTGATAAAGGGTTTTAGCCTAGATAATCACGTCATTTGCGGGAATTTTGATTACCGCAACCAAACTAAATATCCTCGGAAGGCAAAACGACAATTACTGAATTAGAGCATACAACCATTTTTTGAAACATAAATAAAAACAGACAAATAACATTGTAACGCGCAAAACTATGAAAACGAAGTCTGCTTGAACATCTGTCTGAGCGGCTGGAAAAACTGCAATTGTTATGTCATTCTAAGTGATTCAATATTCTTGCTGCACACTAACACAGATATATTTCTGTAACGTTTCGTCTGACCAGACTTCCTCTAGCATACATAGTTCAATCTAATCGATGGCACATGTTATGTCATTGTTGGCTTATTTTTGATTGGTTGGGGTTAAGGGAAAATGCATGTAAAGTACTGTATTCTACCTGTCGCAAAGCACACAACTGGTTCGAGGCAATTTTTGGGTCTATTTCAATAAAATTCACTCACTCAGGCGCGATCGACTGCTCGAGTCAGGGCGATCGACGTGTTGGCCACCCACTGATATAGACATATAGTCATCGCATGAACATCTATTGCCGCATCATATTGATCAATAACAGTCCATAAAATTGTCATAACAACTATATATATATATGTAATCTAGATAGATACCCTACCTTTGATGTAATTATATTGAGTGCGCAACTCCCGTGTTTTCCACACAACTACCGGCAGCAGGATGTTCGACAATATGATCGCCAATGACATCAAGATAATCACCAAACAGAATGAAATAAAACCTCTGCGAATTTCACAGTTTGATAGTGATGCCTTTGCATCGTACATATAATATCGAAGGTCGCTACATTCGCTTTCATTGCTGTAAACTGCGAATCCACATAATGCTAGGATTCTGATTCCAGGTGCGCGTGTAGTATAGTTGAGCTCTTGTGTTGAATTCGTAACTGCGTCAGTGGTTTGCTGCGCTGTGGAGTTGTAGAATTGCTCTGTTTCTCCCTGTACGTCCTGAGCATTGGCGTTGTAAAGAGTGTTCGCAATTATCGATGTATAAATTACGAAATTTAACATTTCGTTTGTTTTATTGTACTTTTTCATTTAATAAAGCTAAATGAAGAATGGTAGAATCAATGAATTCCTCTTGACAAGCCTATTTTCTCAATTTTGCCGCATTAAAACTATTAATTTTTATTGAAAACCTATGCACTGTATGATATCGCCCGTTCCTCCAAGTGTTCGACTGGCAAAAGAAATGAGTACTTATATATAAATATAGCGATATAACGTTGTATTTCATATCTGTATGCTTGCATTATTAATGGCTAGAAGGACGCCAGTTATTTCACATATCATGCATTTTTGGAACGATAAATAAGATGGATGGACAAGATGTGCTTGTTGTGATCGACAGGCTCTGCCTAGCACGACACTTCAAGTCGAATTGACTAAATTGTTTAAATTGAAAATGTACAGATCAATCAAGAGCCTCTATTGAGCTTCTGTATATACAATAACGGTGCTCCCGAAGTATGCGAACCAAGATGGCGGACATCGGAACGTAACATGGGTAACAGGTTAGGGTTAGGCGATAATTTCTTTCCAATTTTCCTTATTTTAGTCCTATTATCAGTTCGAAGACTAGCCAAGAGCCTCCCGTAGTATTTATACCTAAAATTATGGCCTAACCCTAACCTATTACACATATTACATTCCGATGTCCGCCATTTTGGTTCGCATACTTCGGGAGCTCCACAATAACTGTCTTCGATAAGATCTTCCGGGTAAAATACAAGATATAATTAATCAAAGCATAATTATTAGAACGAGTTGTGACCTAACAAGCGTACTGGGTAAATAAAATCAGGCAACTGAATTTTGAATTCGACGAATAATTTATACATGGTTTTAAAACATACATCTTCCATTATGATACACTGTGAAATTTGATAAACGACAGTAAATCAATGAAATTAATAATGGCGATTTAGCGTGAACGAATTATAAACTCAAATGAATTTGATTAATAGGTAGTTTTTACATATATATATAAATCAAATTTGGCTCAAAATATAGCATTAGTTATTTTACTGTGACCCAAATTTGTTGATGCGATGCGATTACAATGCTAATAATGACTTCAATCCGTTATCCTAACTTTGCAATATAGGTTGTTTTATTATAGTAAAATGTTTAATTATCATAGTTGACTTCCAATGTATTAGATACCAATAACTGGTTTGGATTATACTGGAATAAAAACTATAAATAGTTGTAGAAGTGATAATAATGCATGAAAACTATCAAAAATGACCGATCTATATCTTAATTAATCTATAAAAACTATCAATTATCATACACTGCTTGATTCAAAAAGCATAATAAATCTTTGAATGAGATTTGGCTTAAGTGAATATCATATGCGAAGTTGAGGATTTGGTATTCCCGAAGTATGTGAACCAAGATGGCGGACACCGGAACGTAATATGTGTACCAGGTTACGGTTAGGCCAAAATTGCAGGCCTATATGCTATGGGAGTCACTTGGCCAGTCCCCGAATTCGTAATAAAACTAAAATAAGGAAATTTGGAATAGAATTATGGCCTAACCCTAACCTCGTTCACATACTACGTTCCGGTTTCCGCCATCTTGGTACATTACTCCGGGAGTACCGAGAATTTTGCAAAAAAGTTTTTTACTCACCGCTTAGTTATGAACCAGACATCTTCATATGATATCAAACTAGCCATGCATATTGTTGTACTAAATTCACTCTATCATGATATAGTTTCGTTACAAAGATTATCTCATTTCACATTATGAATCTCTTCCGTTGAGTGACGTGGTGAAATCATTTGATTCACATTGTCCAAGCGGCCGCGCCGAAACGGATGTGACAAAACACCCCCTTCCTGTCTCTCAAATGTGTTTTGCCATATTAGCTCGAAAATATACATATATATGTAATGTTTCAACTGCAGTTTCAAGTGAAAATATTCGACGCATTGTCGTTAATTATCGGAGCAACTTGGCATTTGGTGCGAGTTCTGAAATTGTACGGATTCTACGGTAGCTTTTCGCATATTTGTTGACGTTTGTCTAACTCTAGGACTCTGTAGGCCCTAGGGCATTTTATGAGGAAAATTCTGAAATTCTATAGATTCTGAAACCACAACAGCTTTTTGCATATTTGTTGATGTTTGTCTGGAGTAGACCCCAGGGCCTTTAATGAGGAAAATACCCAGAGGTTGAATAAAAATACAGTAACAAGCACACACAGCGTGACCTTACTATATATATTTCTTGGCTATATTATGCTATGATACTATATTCAACATTTCAATGTCGTGTAATACCATTTATCGTTTTTTTTTTCAAATGTAAATAGTCATCCCTAACAAATATAACAACATCTGTTCCCTGTTTGGAAACTCGGTCAGATTCGATAATCCAAAATTAGTCTCGCGACGAACTATTTCTAAATGCCTGTGATTGCTTTTATAGAATCGGGGATTTTCAGTGATATGTGGCTCAATTAAGTAAATTTACATGAATACCCACTAGTTTCATGGCACTCTCAATCTATACTAAAAATCTAAATGAAAATAAATATATATCTTGTTCTGCATATTTTAGTTGTGGTCGTCATACACCACTATGATCCTATCTCAGTAAAAAAATTTCATCGCATTATGCATATTTGAGTGTTGGTCACACTTTAGTTATTATCATCATTTCATGTTTGATGAATTTGAATTTTTATTCGAATGTAATACTATACAAAATACGATTTTATTTTCAATAAGCCCTGTTTTATCGCTCGCCCGCAGTTGCCACAACTGCGATAAGGCGCATTTTCCCATGTTTATCGGAATTGCCAATCTCGGAACTATAATAAAAATACTCTGTTTGTTAATTTATTTGACGGTATGTATGATTGTGCGATGGTTTACACCACCTTTAGATCGAGATTAAAATTTGTTTTTCCATTAATGAGTTAAACACTCATTGAATACAATACTTTAGGTTGAAAAAAGTTATTTTCAAACTGAGAAATATATAAATATGACAAAAAGATGATTAATTGGAAAAATTAAATTAGAATGGTTGACGATTAACTCTATCAATAAATATGGTATGATAAGTAATGATGATCGGAAGAAAATGAAATACTGTAAAATGCAATAAATTTGCTAATCTTTCAATCTTGCCATTCATTATCTTCAATTGTCCAGGGTGGTCAAGCTCGCATATTAGGTCCCATTCCACTATCTGTGATTAAATGAACAAGTATAAATTTCAATCTTTATTCTTTTTAATACTTTGGGATAACACCTAATTAGCTAGAGAGATAATTGACGAAATTGATTTCTTTAATTAGATTTCACTGCCCAAATATATTCAGACGTATAATCACACAATTACTATTGAAATTACTCACCCATAATAACTATCTTTGGGTTTTCGATTGGTTCTAAAACCAAAAGTAGAAACTTTAAAAAAATATCAATATAACATAAATTTGATTCATGAATAAGAGTATTACTGTAAAATATTAGTACGCGAAATTTCATAGCGTTTTGCTTAGGGTTTATTGGATGCAAAAAATATGTATAGGTATATATGTCATACTTTAATGGCTCTTTTTAAATTAGCATGTTACGATTTCGCGGGGCCATTTCTCAAATGAGCGGGGTTATTGCTAAGAACGCAACTGTCGATCGTCGTCTATTTATATATACGAAAGATCGATGCTCAAATATATGGACACGAAAGCCAAGTAGACTACAGGTAACTCAGTATTCATGACTACGCGTGACCACCAGATTGCAAACACGGAAACGGCCACAAGGTGCGCGATTCTTAATTTTCATGACAACATGGCACAAAAGAACGAATACCTTGGATCCCACAGAAATTTTTGTAATAAAAATAGTACTAGCATTCTAGCAAAAATAACATTTTTAACTACTAAAAATTTCAAAGCAATTGGTCCAGCAGTTAACAAAAAAGCGATTTTTCATAACAACAATACAAATAGTTCTGACAACAACAACAACAACAACAACATAATAACAAAACAATATACAGGTACACTTCGTCTCCAAAAATAATAACAAGCACAAGTTGGATATATCTTGACAAGTGAGGCATATTACAGGCTTTTAGTTTCATATATGCTGAAATTCTGTTTGATATAAACATGATAACGGGAATTCGCTTTGATCCATTTCATTTTACGAAAGATTTGAACATGTCGTTTTAGTTTTCGTTCTATTCATGTCACGTTGCATTACCTCGGGTTATTTTCCTTAATGTTAAAAGTATTTTGTTTTACCGAGATTTAGACATACTTAAAGTATTTTAAATATGATAACGATAGACGTACCTGACGCGCGAAATCCATTAAATAAATAAATATTAACTAAGTGATGTTATAATAATATAGCTCAATGACTGATCTCAAAATCAGAGGAAACAAGTGCGATGCACCTAACAGAATTCATTTTTTAATAATAATTTATATTTTTTCGATGTGGTCGCAAGTAGGGCTAGGCATTTCGATTCGAATAGTTATTTATTCGAAACGGTTCGGATAAGAATTTTGAATCTTCGCCAAACGTCTTGTTAAATTCCTCATATTTTTATCGAAGCCGTGTATTTACAATGCATTTCTGATCTATGACGCTTTTCTTTCTAGTGAGTTATTAATGAACCATGTGTCTTATTGCAATTAATAGCTCAGGCTATTTATTAGGTTGAAAATACTGTCTGATGATCGCAATAGTATTGCAATTTAAAAATATGAATAAAACTTGATTGCAATTTTTAAATACTCACTGCTTGATCCCTGAGTGTGTTGGCTGTTTACTGAACCTGAAATAATACAGTATATGTTGATAAAATTGTCCAGGAACTATTTGAAAAAATACAATCCAATACCTATAGCTAAACGAGACAGAAGTAAATTATCGACTAGTGTTGCAAATTTGTATATGATTGCCGAATTAGTTTCTAGGTGGTAAGATTTAAGACATATTCATATTTACAACAAGAGAGCGATGCTCAAATATATGGACACGAAATCCAAAACAAAGTTTCGCGTATCGTCGCGTCAAATTGGAAACGGTCTTCATGCTTGGTGGATTAAAAAATGTGTTCCCGTGAAAAATAAAAATAGAGCGAAATATCAAATCTTGTAGGATTCATAGAAAATTCAAGAATAAATAAATGTAATAGCCTTCTAGCGAATGTAGACGGTAACAACAACAAGAAAAAGGAGAATAACAACAACAACATAATAACAAAACGATCCATAGGTCCATTTCGGGCTCAGTAATATTTTCTGATAACAACAGTTTTGAAGGCTAGATATCCGCTTTTTCAAATATCATGTTCAATAGATGTATCGCGCACTCAAAGCGTGAAAAATGGGGACATTTATTCTGACATTGATATTGTGAAATGAAAGCGATTCTTACCTAGAGTCTCGTCTCCCTGTGGAATGACACCTCCATAAAAAACGGGATCTGTAATATAAATATTCAATCCACTTTAATACTTAAAAAAGATAATACAATTTAAAACAGATTCTTGGATAACGGTTGAATTTTATATGTATTCGAAAATTCTTCAAGTCAAAGTCAAAGCCATCTATTTTGTTCTATACGAATTTATTTACTATTCTGTCAAACTCTTTCCATTTTTGCGCCAATTAATGAGGATCACAAGATCATATCAATGTAACGCAATATTTATTCTCAAAATGTTGAAAATTATTTTTGATACATGATCTGAATTTCGTTGTGCACTGTATTTATACGGTATATCTTTACTTAAGATAAAACGCGGTCGAATATTGAATTTTAACATTTTCCATTTATTATTTTAAAATTGATATGAGCTGTATCAGTATTCGTTTTCTCTGTACATGTAACATTTATACTAGGCATTTATTTAGTGCGCCAGGTACAAGTACCTGGGTGAAACTGCTGGCCGCACCCTCATTTAACACAGGCTTTCTAGTAGTTGCACGCACAAAAACTTTGTTTGTTGATCTTATGACATGTGTTGTTCACTTCGCACAAGCTAACTGTTAGGGCATTGTAACGTCATGGGCACAGATAATAAATTGGAGACTTTGCAAAGACGGAATTGGAATTTCTCGAACGTACCAGAATAAACTAAATTAATAACTCGTTTCGCGAGTCGACCACTTTCAAAAATTGGCACTGCTCCGCGGGCCGAACAGTTTTTCCTTGTGGGTCGCATTGGGCTCGCGGGCCACAGTTTGCACACCCCCGAATTGTAAAAAATATAGGCATAGACATATAATGAAATATTTAAATTTCATTCTAATTTATATTCCCGAACATCGCATTCAAATATAAATCTATTGCTTCGCTTCAACATTGAATTTCAGACTTTTAAATTTTACGGTTGTAACTCGACTCTCACGCTAATACACTTTAGATAACATTGGGATTATCATATACTCACCACTCAATGTAGCTTCGCCTTGTGGGTAGTTCGATAAAAATTGAGGGTTCGGCGGACCTTGGAAAGTATGAATCGAGGAGATGAAATAGGAATAAAAGAAAGAATAGAATAAGTTCAGGCTAAAATTTGACTTACTTAAGCTCGCATCTCCTTGAGGAACATTACCTCCGTCTGTAAAAAAATTACTTTGTATTAAAATATACTCTCTCATACGTTTGGTTTAAACGAAGGAACTGAAATTGTTTTTGTCTCTTAATTGCGATCGATTTTTATGAGGGTTAAAGCTCATAAAGAATTTCCTAAATTGGACGTAGCCTACTCCAAATTGGACTACCACTAAATACGAGGTACTCTATTTCCGAATTACTCTATTTCCCTACTCACCTAAAGTAACTGCTCCCGAGTAGTATCCTGGATCGTCTGAATGAAATGAATAAAAACCTCAGAAGATCTGATTAAAGTTCAATTTACTAATAGCGACTAGATCACTAGAAGAAACGGACTATGCTTTTAATATTCAAGTTCTTATCATTACTGTGGACGAGTTGTAAAATGCTAGAAATCAACTGAATATTGCACGTACCAATAGAGAAGACGAATGCTGATTCTGGCGAATAGGCAGGCTACTGCTCATACTTAAATTCAAACAAAAGCGGACAGAATTTGTATCTGGTTCATCGCCATTTCTGTTTTATCGCCATTTTCAGTACTGATTCGTTTTTTTTATATGACCTCATTACCAAACAGTCGATCGCGAGCTATTTTGAAGATAGCGGTAGATCGCGGTCTAAAGCAGGTTGGCCACCCCTGAATTTTATTCTATAGTAGTTAGGCCATAACTTCAGGGGCGTAAAGCCAAGAAAAAAATCAGAGAAATTGAAGGATATTTGTGATTATAAAGCCATATTTTTACGCCATTAAAGAAATAAAATTGCTCACCCAATGTCACCGAAGGGCCAGAGTATCCATCTGAAATATACAAAATAGGCAAATATAGAAAATTAGTATCAAAAATATACCAAAGAATTACGAAAACTAGAGCGTGCTAAAAATAGTGGGAGGTTCTGCTATTAATTTTGTCACAGAAATATTCATACGCAAATTAGAATTGTGATCTAAAAGAATTATCATTCTTACCCACGATACAATTTTATCAAGCGAAGGGACTCAATGTCTATAATTGTCAACTCAGTTAAAAAGAAAAATGTCCATATTTTTGGTCGCCCATGCGCTGTGCAAAATTGTGTTAATAAAATAATAATAATCTTTCTTACTTACCCAGTGTACCTGCAGGGCCGTCATCTAAATAAACATATATCAATTAGTAAATATCAATGTAAATGAACTTACATCAAGATTATATTGAAACCTCCACACACTCGTTCCATGAAATAGACTGGAATTCCAGTCACAAAAAATAGTCAAATACAACAAATTATACCCAATTCTAAGTTGTAACTCCCAGTATATGAATGTGTTACCAAAATAGAGATGTCTGTCAAACTAGAACTAGAGTACAATGCTCAAATATGTGGACACGAACGTCAAAACAAAGTAGTATAGGCATCCAATCTTTTTTAGAATCGGTACGCTACTGCAGTCTCCCAGACTTCGACTGACCACCTGAACGCAACGATCGCGAACGCGGCACCGTCACAAGGTAGACAAGTTTTAATTTTGATGGTGTCATCACGCACAAAAAAAGAATTCTATAGAGTCCACAGGAATTTTTGAAATAAATAAAGGTATATAATAGACTCCCAGCAACAACAACAATCTTCAACAGCTGAAAATTTCAAAGGAATTGTTCCAGCAGTTGAAGAGAAAAGAGATTATTTCAAAACAAGAACAAGTAGAAAATGAATACTAACAAGAACAACATAATACAATAATAATCTTACCTAGCGTAACTGCAGGCCCGTCATCTGAATAAACATATGTTAATTAGTAATGTAAATAAACTTATATCAACAAACGTGAACTGAGTAACAGACAAAAACAGGAAAAACATATCACATAGACGAGCCAAATACTGCACAACTATATCAAACTTTGATTTGTGGCTCCTAATAAATGGAATGTTTTCTTATAGTTTATTATCTTTTTTATTCTGCGGAAAGTAATTACTATTACGCTATATTGTGACAACTTGAGGTATTTTTTTATTTTTTCATAAATTGTTTCTGTTTTGCATATGGAGTATATAGATTGATTCGCATTACAGTAATGCAATACTCCTTCAGATTATTCACCCACGATTGTTGCAGAATTTTTACAATGTAAATGTTAAACTGGTAATACTGCTTCGAAATAGCTTAAAATTTCTTTTAAACTCGAGAAAAGGATAGAAGAAGTCAAATTGCTCAGCAAAACCTTTCATCTACTATTTGCTATTAGGTTAGGTGCCAGGCATGAAAATAGTTGAATGGAACAGCCAGTTTAATTTTTCACATGCATGAGTGCGTTGTTTAGTGAAGAAATTTTATACGTGTAACGTGATGTTGGTTTAACAGAAAAACATTACTCACCTAAAGTCACTGAAGGACCAAAGTATCCATCTGAAATGAACATATATATAGTAAGTAATCAGTTGGTATTAAAAATATGCTAAAGAAAATGAACAGTGTGATTAGCAGAGTAAGTCAACACGTATAACCATTTTGCGACAGAGACCTCTCAGGAAAGGAGACAATGACGCAATTTGAGTAAATTGAAGAGGTTTCATACATATCGAGCAATATTGATAGAATTGAAAAAACACCTTTTCCTAATTACTCACCTAACGTCGCTGAAGGGCCGAAGTTTCCATCTGAAAAATGTTTAATTTGTTCATGTCAAATGATATAATAATGCATCATTACACCCAGTCGTGGTGATACAAAAAAGTAGGAGTTTCTTTCATAGAACGAACTACCACAATATCATAGTATTATTCATACACAATTTAGAATTGTGACCTGAAATGTATAGTATTTTTACATCAGGCAACTATCTATTTTATGCAGTGGAAGATCCTATTGTCCATTTTTCGAGTTGAAATGTGAGAGAAGTGTCGTTATCCTGGGTCGTGTTATGTAATATTTAAAATTGTGATATTTGTGACAATCTCAAATACTTACCTGATACAACTACAGGTCCGGAATATTCATCTGGAAAATGTATATCAATCATCAATATATGAGTAACTTATATTAAAAATATGTCATAATTCATTCACACCCGATCCGCGAAATGGACGAAGGAAATTATCACCACAAGGATAATGCAAATACTATAAAACTAGATCCAACTTCGAGTTGTGGCTCCAAATATATGAAAGTCACTTATTTAGAGTATACTATATTATGTTTTATGCCATAGAAGCCCATATCCACCAGGCTATATTGAGTCGGTGTTGGAGGACTATATCAGGATTTCCCATCAATTGTTTCTGGATTAAATTGAAGTTTAGATAATTGCTCACCCAGTGTTACTGCGGGGCCGTAGTATCCGTCTAAAAATGTATATAAAATAATTTATTTAAAACAACTAACACATCCTATTACAATGAATTTGGGGACCAAGAGATAATGGGATATCTGCCATAAAACTGCCTGAATAACATAAAACTTTAAGAAATTTAATACAGTAACCGAAGCATATAATATGCCTTATCAAAGTGTGCTATGTATTTTATGCAGCGAGGCCACAATTACACATCTTGTACAAAGTTTGGGACGAGAGAAGTGCTGGAATTTCTGATCTACAATGTTAATACTTTAATAATTCACTTCATAAATCAAATTACCAAAATATACTAAAACTTATTCACCTTCAATGATACCGCAGCTATTTTTTTTTTGCAATAAAAACCGTAACAAAACTGCAAAACTGTAGGAAACATAGATTTATTTATATGATTTAATCTACCTAAACTTGCTTTGGGAGTCTGTGATCTTGACATCAGATGAGACAAAATAATTGCTGAATAGAAAAGAAAAACAATAATAGATAATGTACAAAATAATTGTAGAAATGGAAATCTTTTAAAATAAAACTTTTTCGAATAACATGAAAGTTTCAAGTTTTTATTGAATTGATTTATAAATAAAAATATCGAGATATACTGAAAAATGCTTCGATTTCACTTAGCCAATGGCAATTTTCAATCTAAAATACGGGAACACCGCAATAATGCGATTATAGTTACCCAACAGCAAAGCTTTCATAGTCTCTGGATTGTCGGGCGTATCTGCAAAAAAATGATTTTACCATGAACAAATAATTTCTTATATATACTGTTTTGACATATACCAATGAATATTGATCTACTCGATTTTCAAGTATTTAAGACAATTAAAATATTCATAAAATTTCATTAATTCAGATCAACATATTGATAACGATCACAAGAACTAAAAAACGAAAGTAAAATTTTGTTGTTCAATTTGGTCGGTTTTGTTAAAAGCACGAATCAAATAAACAAAAAAAGTCAATATGTATGGTTGGAGAAACTGTTGGTTCTATAATATGCAATTGCGACACTTTATGACGTCACTGTTGAACAATTTGTTACTATTTGTAAGCGATAAATGGAGTAGTAGAATACAATTTCGATGATATTGCAAACTTATCAAAACTGGTCAACCTCAAATGAACTACTGAAAAATGTTTTAAAAATTATACCTTTAACACATTTGATAACCACGTTACCAACGCACCATGAACATTTTCTTGCCAAACATTGCATCGGCGTGACCATTTCTCCTTTTGCACAGTCATCAAGGACGGTCGGTTTTCTTTTACAGGCAAGACCTTAATATTAAGTGTTTTTAATTGCTATGTCATAATAACCTTTATTATGTCAGCGTTTCGGGTTATGTTAAAAATTTCTCGCACACATCGAACACGTGTATTTAAAAATACAAATTAAATTTCTTCGGAAATTGCCTAAAAAGTTGGAAGCAACAATTTGCTTTCTTCCAATTGTGGAAATTCAGTATTGAACAAGTTTATTCTCACGTTGATTAAAAGTTAACACAAATTCTACATATTGGCATGGAGAGCATTTTTCTAGTATCGAATCATAAAGGCTGTATATTATTGTTCAAGAGCTCTGCGTTTACTTTCAATGCATTTCGATCGAGCATTGGAACAGTAGTAACATTGTTTTAATATATATAGCCTGGGCCTGCTGTTTGTGTGGCGTCGTGTTCTATCTTTTCTAATAGTTGGCAACAAGCAATTCGCTAAAAATATGAGAAAATATGTAGAACAACCCCAATGTCAAAAAATGATTGAAATTTAGCAATGCGTTCTCATGTAGTAAATGAAAATAATCTTTTTTTGCCATTACCACGGTTTCATATAATAATATGTTCTAGCTTTATATAAAAATAACCAATCAAATACACTACTTTTTTGCTAATTCATTTCACACAGTCACAAAGATGGGTCTAACATAAATGAAAATACAGATGAACTGAATCTTGCCCCTAATTTTTAATGAATTTACCATTTGGAAGCTTACAACAGAATGTTTATGTCCTGTTTGACAAAGTCCGAAATATTTTATGTATATCTAAGTCTAATCAGTCTAAATATATGGGATTGTGAAATAATATGAAATTTTTCTGTTTACAGATTAAGCCCATAACCTAAAATAAAAAATATTTTCTTACTATTAGCTGATACACATCCGGCAATGCTGACTAGAGCGACAAAAACGAGAATTTTCATTTTGAATTTTCTAAGAAGTCGTATATCCGTTCCTTAGTACAAATTGTATTCCCAAACTGTTTGTTTCGTAGCTACGAAATATCACAATCAGATTGTATCCTACAATGGTTTATGTAGTTTTATCGCCAAATTAATTTTTATTAAAAAAAAAAAAAACGCGATTGTTATCTTTCGGTATGAAGTCAGCAGTGATAATTGTAAACCCCGAAGGCAATGAATACATTTTATCTAGACGACGAAGTTTACTTCATGTGATGATTTAGATTCTATCGGAAGTATAAAGCAATCTAGGTTCATGGATTAGTAATAATTTCCGTTAAGTTGATCCATTCAGCAATTAAAGTATCAACGATATTTTTGGCGCGGGGGCATTTTTATATTCATAACTTCAACCAGATTCACAGAGCTTACAGTAATCACAATAAGAATCAAGGACGTTTTTACTTTCTTTACTTGATTGCTAACTTTAGTGCAATATCTTCTTCTTTCGTAATAGATGACAGCAAGAATCGCTTGATGAAATATGCCATATAAGAGCTGGCTATGATGTCACAATTTTACAAACGGACAGGTTTGTAATTTCGAAAAATAGTCAAGTATAAAAATGACACATATAATTGGTGAGTGATGACGATTTGGTGACGCGTATCTTTAAAACCAGGTAATAATTTCTGTAGATGAAAACTTATTAAAATTACAATTTAGGAGAACATTTTCAGTACTAAATTCTAAATAAATAAATCGATGATTTTATGGTAATTTTAAGTGTAAGCCTGTTTTTAGATGGAATAGTGGACACATCATCATGAAACCCCTTAAACGACAACGTCATTTAATTGTGAACGATTTCTGCACATTTGTTAACAAAATAACACATAGTGATTATATGAACTGATAACTCATTGGTCAGAACTCGAGCCTAAATGGAATGAAGAATAATTCTAACATAAATATACATCGTCTGCTTTATGCTAACATCGTGATTCATTTCATGATTTAATCACAAGCTATTATCAATTAATAAATTTTGAACGTGTTTTTTTAAACTCTTGTTTCGTTTGCTGATCTTGCATTACAACTTAACTTAGTCTATTTTTATTATATTTGTTAAAAATCATGTTCCTGTTATGAGGCACGTGAGTTCAAGTAATAAAGTATACATATACTGAAATATTTGAATGAACCTACGAGGGGGTGTCACAGCAGTGATATTATATTCTCGCAATTGGAAAAACCATGGAGAATACTGTAAAAAATCTCCAGCAAACCTCATTGCTTTTCATGAAAATTTACTATACCCCTGACAAAGGAAAAATGCAGATAAAAGGCATCTCCACGACTCGATCATTTTTGGTTAATCTGTTCATCGAATGCCTTTATAGATGTTATTGTCTCAATCAGTACTCTAATTAATTTTTTCAAAAATAAGTTATTCAGGCATTTTTTTACTAGCATGCGCTATGTGCATACTACTTTACATAAATCTATCGTACGTCATTCGACAAACTATCGTGGATTGACTGTGTGATGACAGTTATAAACATCATGACAATATGGTCAATCATAAGATCTCACTTCATAAGTCATTGCACAATAGCTGATTATAAAACAGATATACCACACAACATAAAAGTCTCTGTTGTTATTTGTCAATACTTAGCTTACAGTGGAATATTACTGGGTGATCATCATAGTTTTACAGAGGTCTCAACCAAACTTCGAGAGAATTGACTTTAGGAAGGATTTCTTTATGAGAATGAAACTTTTTGTTAAATATTTTAGTCCAAGTTTACAGTTCAAATATGAAAAGATCAGGTTTGTTTGTTTGTTGACGACCAAAAACTGTAATGACAAGATATTTTTCAAATATAAAAAAATCATCTTATTGGAATACTGGCATATTTTATAATTAATAGCTAAATTGACTACACCTCACATGAAGCTAAAACTCACAATTTGAATACCATATTCCAATGTCCATCAAATCTTATAAATAAACCTAGAAAAATGTTCACAACTTTTAAAACGCATTTATATATTTTATTTTATACATTTAATATATTTTCATGGTATTACTTGATGCAAACTAGTAGGAAAATAGAATACAGTGCCATCATCTCATGTATCCTTTGCAATATTGCCAAGTCAAAGTTATATATGTATTATATCTATAGGATGATAAAGAGCGATATATAGTGTTTCCCCGAAAATAATACCTAGCCTGAAAATAAGACATACCCTGTATTTCAAAAATGATTTTAATATAAGCCCTAAAACAAGACCTAGTCAATTGCGCAATTTTTTTTTTGACCATGTCGATAGAAATAAATTTCTCCTACACGTTTTAAATGATTAATAATCTTTGTTTAGCAGTTATTTTAATTAAAAAGGTGTTATTTATATAAGTAAATAGATATCGGTTTTCATATTTAGTATATTTGTTATTCTCTACTTTGTAATTTTGTTTTTGATAAATAAAAATAAAAGACACCCCCCAAAATAAGCCCTGGTATTATTTTACAAAAAAAAAATTGAAATAAGACTCAGTCTTATTTTTGGAGAAACACGGTTTCTATACAAAACCCCATCTAGGTATATAGAATATTGAATAATAATGATAATATTTAATTTCATATCTAGACAAACCTATTATTTTGAAATATGAAAAGAAACATTTTATTGCGATTTTCGGTGGTTATCCTGCTTACTTTTGGTTTGATCAGCCATCCTGTATCATCACTCCAGTCACGTTCAGCAAAAAGTCGAAACAAGGGTCAGAAATTCAGATCTCAGGAACCGGAGGAAATAGTTCCAAACATTGGAAGGTCTGGAATCAAACCTGTTAGAGATGTGATTTTACCATCAACTTTAACTACTACAAGAACCCCACCGTTCAGATGGGTTGCCCCTGTAACTCCTGCTGTACCTGTTCAGTCTGAGGTAATAAGACCCATAACTGAAACCCTCATTAACCAACATATTGAAAGCAGGATTTCGATTCCAAATATACCGTCCGAAAAGGATATTCATAAGAAATCGAGGCCCACTAGCTCAACCATAAAAACAACATCAACAACAATTGATCATGCATCAAACAATCACGAATCTGTTCCCATCAGTTTTTATTTCTGCAAAAATATTTCTGCCACCGATCCGATCCAACGACTTTGTGGGTACCCTGTATTTTATGATGAACTGCGATGTGCCGAGCAGTTCTGTTCGGACGATCCATTATACGAATGTGAAGATGCACAAAGCAGTATGCCTTTCTTCGGATCCGTAATAATGTTTCTTGGATTTTTCATCATAATCAGTAACTGTTTGTTACCGTATCTCGTCTACCGTGAACCTAATTTAAGAGTAACTCATAATTGGATAAAAGGTAAATACATTCTCAGTATGTCATCTTGAAAGTCTAACTTCAGTTAAGAGATATTTTTAATGTCAGCCACAATCCCAATTTAACTTGAGAATATATGTCCTATATCATTTTAGGTTATATATACAAAAATCAGGCTAATTCAAATTCCGAGTCTATTCTGGCTTCAAATATTTTGTCAGACTCAGGCCTTCAGAAGAGGACTATGTATTAAAAACCTTTTTGATGCTTTATACCTATAAACACAATATATATATATTCATTTAAAGTTTCACTTGCATTTGCCGATATGCTGAACGGAATAGTGTTGGTTTGTTCAGTTCTGCCGAACATATTGTGGTTTCGTAATCTGCCAGAGAGAGAAGTTGCCTCAGAAATTGCAAAGGAAACGAACTCGGTCACTGCAGTTTTTCTTGGATCTTTATTGATTGTATCAAATCAGGTATTCTGTACACATTTATTTTCAATATTGCGAGCATAAAATAACTAGTGACTGTTCATCGTGTGTGGCTTCTATCCATTGGTGGGATTCAAAATTTCAAGAACGTTGAATTGAACTCACTAGGTTCTCTTATTAAAAAAAACACGCTTTATTTATCTACGTCATGAATAAATGGTGACCGTACATTTGAACCTATGTGTATATCCGTGGGTTCAATCTATATGCGGGTGCTAAAACCCATGGGTTAGGGCAAGGTCTTTGGACCAGGTGCCAAATTTTTTTCCTTATACCGACTGGCGGGCCATGTAAGTGGGACTTACATTTTATGAACAATATTTAAAGTTTTACGAAAGCGATAGTGAAAACAATAAGCCTCGTGCAAAATTAAATTTAATCGCAATCTCAACAAATTCCTTGAGCTATTTTTTATGATTAAAATTTGGCTTCAGTTTGGTTGTGGCAGCATCAGGCGGTCCAGATTGAATTACCCAACAGGCTGTATTTGGCCCACGGGCCGTAGTTTGCCCATGTCAGAGCTAGAGCTACCAAAATTTCTGGCATATTTGGCTCCATCCACACCTGTTATAGTAAGCTTGGCGCCAGCTCTACCAAACTGTCACGGCCCGTTGCACCAAACTCCGACTGCCCAGCCCTTGTATGTCGTAAGATATTTTGACGTGACACGCTTTACATAAATCAAATACATAACTTTTGAAATAGCAAATATAACGCTAATCGTCAGCTACGGTGCACATTATTCATTAGCTGCGATCGTCTAAAGTCAAAACAACAACAAAAAACAGGAACGAGTTCGCTGATGCCAAAACATTCTAAGAACGGGTTCGTGCGAACCCATGTAAGCCCGCTGAATTCCACCACTGCTTCTATCCAAGTATGGGCCAATAATACAGTAATAGTGTATTTCATAAATAATTTTTTTAGTGTAATACAAATGAGATTCAATTCTTAATATTTACCGAACAAAATTAAATGATAGGTAGCCAGATCAAAATAAGACAGTTCGAGTAAAAAAAGTTTTTTGTCCAAATTTTCAGCTGTTGTTTGTTTCCATCGGTGCACGTCATTATTAAACGAATTAATTAAAATAACCAACACTCACCACACGATGCAACTGTTTCACCATTATAACAAAATCCCCAGACAATTACGTTTTAGTTGTGTCACGTTTCGCTTATTTTCTTGTTCACAATGCCATAAATAGTGTTACAGTGCATAAGTCCAGCACTGCATTCTCATTTGAAATCTGCAGTGACGGTGAAATTCCAAGTTGTTTGAATCGGGGTAAAATCGCAACATATAGTTCTTACGAAAGTTATGGAGGCTAGATACGACTTTTATAGATTTGAAATATTTAGTTATTCAGTATTGTTTTTTATATTTAGGGATCTCTTCTCCACCTCACGTTCCTAACTACGGAAAGACTTGTTGCAATAAATTGGCCAATGAATCACAAAGCATTGGAACAAACAATTATATATCACGGAATAGCTGTCGTGTGGATTCTTTCAATATTTTGTTCATTCACACCAGGTAATTCTTTGAAAATGCATGGTGGCAATCAATGAAATCACAGCTATTCTACTTGAGTGTTGTCATATTAAGTCGCCCAAGTCCTAACCATGTTTTATGTTATGTTTCAGCAATATTTCCTGATCATTTTGAATATTCCTTGGCACCGGTTGCGTTTGTAAACATGTTGACTACAAAAAATTTACCCGATGGATCTATGGGATATCATGGCGCGTTATATGGTGTCGTGACAATTTTATTGCCTTACTCAATTATGGTAAATACATTTGGTAATGTTCTAAAAGTAGGAAATTTTAGTGGCGATCAGCTTCCTAGACATAGTTATCCTGCTCCCGTGACCCATTTTGGGCTTGAAATAGCCTTATACCACGTTTTATCTATATCCAGCTTTAATAAATGTCCAATTTTGAAAGTTAATTGACTGTAATTCTGTCACGAATTCTATATCTTTTCTTCCTTCTGGTATCGCGAGGCGAAAATCAAAATTACAACACGCTTTGTGCAGCAAGCCTACAATACGTAGAGGGTAGCTGGTCGTTGCTACATCCGTCTGCGCTCTTCCTCCGAGTTGTAAAACATTTCGACTCCACGACTCCGAGAAAAAAAAATAATAACAAAAACCGTTTTCAATAGATCTTTAAAAACGCTACGTAAACTTAATACATTTCGAGTTTCTGTATCGAATATTTTGACTCCTTTTATCATCATCGATAATCTGCGAACTCCGAGAAATTCATAATTTCGACTGCGATTCCGCGAAGTTTTAAAATACGACTCCGACCTCAACGCACAGTCTTGTCTGGAATTATCACCCATAACTAACTTTTGAATTCATAATTTCGACTGCGACTCCACAAAGTTTAAAAATACGACTCCGACCCAACAGCTCTGCCTGGAATAAATACCTGTGGCTACCTTTCCCTACCTGACGTGGGTCGGTAACCATGCTTTTCGACAAACGAGACGCAATCTGACGAAAACATGAGCGTACATTTATGCTCTGATATGCCTTCCCCATGTCCACTTCCGGTCCATTACACACAATGGCAGACTCTTTTGCATTCTGGTGAATAATGATTATTATCTTTTAATTGATCATTGTAGCTATTGACATCAATTACAACAGGATTTATTGTTTGGAAGAAGTTGCGGAATTCACCTAGAACATGTCGAGTTCCGAAAGAGCAAGATCATGCTACAAGAGGATCTTTAGAGAGTATCGTTGATTACCTACGACAGGTGCCAGAATTACATCCCGAAATAAAAGTGTTCAAAACTCTTATCATTATGATAGTGGCTTTCAGTGTCACATTGTGTAAGTTTATTTTTTCATTATTATTATTAGTTTTTATAAAACGTATATTCAATACGGGCGGCCACAATTCGAATATAATAAATGGAATAAAGATGCGTTTACACTGGATGCGTCGCGGCGCGGCGCGGCTTCTGGTCGCGCGGGGCAGGTGTTTACATAGCGCGCGTCATTTCTCCACCACTCAAGGGCGCTAGAGGCGGTTGCTTAGGAACATTGACGCGGGAAATTCAGCTAGAATTTCGTCTGCTTCCCACTCCGCTACAAAATTTACAAATATGCCACTTTCGAAAAGGAAAAGATTGGCAATCGCCCTTTATTTGGCAAACAATACGGAGCAAAAGCAAAGGGAACATTGGGTTCATCCCATATTAAAAAGAAGGAAAGAGCTTGGTAAGTTCAAATCATCGCCCTATGAAACTGCGTGGTCTTTCCTCAAAATACTAATATAAGATTAATTAATCATAGGCTATCTTATACTGTTTTCTTCATCTACCTGTGTATTGAACAGACGGTAGAGCTTGAAGTTGAATAAACATTTATCTTTCATTTAATAATACTTTCTACGCAGGTGAGTACCATAGACTTGTCCAAGAAATGAGACTTGAAAGAACGGTTGCATTTCGTAACCAATACCGCCTGGACCCTGGTATGTTTGATGACCTGAGGAGTCTAGTGGCTCCTTACATAACTAAAACCACGACTAATTTCCGAGAACCTATATCTCCTGAAGAGAGGCTTGGAATAACATTAAGGTGAGCAATTACTGTATATTCAAACCATGTAGCAAAATGTATGTGGAAGAAAATATTCAAATTATAACACATCCACATAGAACTATTAAAAACAAAATAAACATAACATCAAATAAAAGTGCACATATATCATATTTCAGATTTTTAGCAACAGGGGATTCTTATACCACAATAGCAGATTCATATAGGACATCGAAATCAACAGTTTCAGGAATAGTTACAGAAACTTGTGAGGCAATTTGGACATCACTCAAAAAAGAATATTTAAGCCCGCCAACAGTTACAAAATGGAAGCAAATCGCTGAAGAGTATGAGAAAAAGTGGAATTTCCCACATTGCATAGGGAGCATAGATGGGAAACATATACAAATTCAAGCACCGGTGAATTCAGGGTCCCTTTATTACAATTACAAGCACACCTTCAGCATTGTGCTAATGGCCCTTGTCGACGCCAATTATAATTTTGTTTTTGTCGATGTGGGAGCTTACGGAAAGCAGAGTGATGGAAGTGTTTTCTCCCACTCTGCTTTCGGTAAGCTCATGAATGAAGGGGCCCTGAATTTGCCGGATGAAACAACACTTACTAACAGCTCAAAAAAGGCTCCCTATGTGATAGTGGGGGATGAAGCCTTCCCACTACAGAAGCACCTGATGAGACCATACCCGGGGCGAAATTTGCCAATTGAGGAAAAAGTTTTCAACTACAGGCTATCCAGGGCAAGGCGAGTAGTAGAAAATGCATTCGGTATAATGAGTGCGAAGTGGAGAGTTTTTAGGAGGCCCATGGGTGTGTCGCCACAAAACGCAGAGTTGGTTGTGAAGGCAGCATGTTGTTTGCATAATTATGTAAGACGCCATACACTGATAGATGCAGGTGAAGTGGATAGGGAAGACCTGGAGGGAAACATAACAAGAGGAAGTTGGCGGGTACAAGAGGATAACAGTTTTTTGCCCCTGCAAAGGCAAGGTCGCAGAAATAGTGTAGCGGCGGCGGCTGTTCGCGACAGCTTTAAAAATTATTTCATGGTTGATGGAGCTTGCCCCTGGCAATTTCAAAGAGTCAGAAGGACATGAAAAGTTCCTTTTATCTAGCTTAGTGGTTACCATCGAAAAAACATATTACTGAATGAGAGATTTTACATTTGACACGCTACACTAAAATATTTCAAGCTGTAATCAATTTGGAAAATAATCCAAATTTTTCATCAAAGAATATTTGAAAATAAACGTAATTGAAAAAAGAATTTGTGCTTGATAAAAGAAAATAAACAGCAGCAGAAAGATGAAAATCATGCAAATACTCCATGAAGCTGTAATGAGAAATAGCCAGAATGAAAAAGCATACTGCCTGAACAAATAATAAAATGGTTGAGGTAAACTAACAATAAAAAACATTAAAATTTTTTAGAAAATTGAGTTCTTGTTGAGAGAAGGTTGCTCAAGTTTGTACGGAGTCAATTAAATTTAGTAATGTACTGTAATTAAGATAAAAAAACGTTTGAATTTATTTTCTAATTTTTAAGTGGGAAATTGAATTTGAATCATTTCTCAAATTCAGCCTCATGGAGTAATTGCATGATTTTCATCTTTGTTGATGAAGCACGCTCAGGAGACAGTCTTTTCAGCTGTGGTAGAAGTGAAAGAAGGAAGAATTTGTCTGGATCATCTACAAATAAATATATATAGTATCAATATTCTATACCATTACGTGTTTATTGGACACGTAGTGGACATAGTGAACGTTTTGTTGTTCTTAGACTTAGTCTTGTTCTTCTTTGACACGTTCAGAAGAAATCGCTTTTCTCTTTGGTTACTGGACCAATTGTTTTGAAATTTTCATTGGTTAAAGATAAAATTTTTCCCCAGAAGGCTATTATTTTTTTTCGCCAAATATTTGAGCATACCGTATATACTCGCCTATAGGTCGCACCACCGTATAGGTCGCACTATTAGTTTTGTGTTAAAAAAGTTTGATTTTGATTTGACTCGCACATAAGTCAAACTGAAAATCTACGGATTTAAAAAGCCCTTTTCCTAGATTTTTGCATAGGTATCTTCCTATTTTGTTTTTTTTGTAGGGCAAAATATAATCAAAATATGTTAATGACGCTCATAATTTTATATGGTTAGAACCAGGTCAACTGTAATAGATGCGTGCGGCGTGTTACGATTTGTAGAAATGGCCTATATCCAAATTTTTGTAAAATCGTCTGTATGTCGAGCGGATAGGTCACACCTATATTTTTTAAAAAAAATAGGTAAAAAGTTGCGACTTATAGGCGAGTATATACGGTAGCTGTCTTGTCTATATGAGCATGCTATGCATACGCTCCTTTAATTCTACAACATAATAAACTAATCTCGATCACACCATATCATGTGTGACCGTAGATAAAACATGAAACAAAAACGATGTTCGAAAAGGTTAAAAAAATTACCATCCTTCTCCTCCTCAAGAATTTTCAAAATCCGCATGTTCACTTCTTCCTTCCTTTTTTTTGGTGTCGGTGCGACAGAAGATGACCCAGACACTTCTTCCCCTTCTACCACAGCTGATAGAGTGACAAGTTCTAAATTTGAGGACGTTCTGAAATATGAAATAGAAAAGGTCCTGAAATAACTTCAAATTAATAAAGAATTTAACTTGTACCAAATTGAACAGATCATTTCAAAACATGTGATAGATATATCATTGAAATAGGCACACACTTTTCATCATAGTAACATATCACAGCAGCTCAATATTTACTCTTGTGCCGATTTTATGCAAAATAACTTACTTTCGATGCTGCACGAAGGAATCTAAAAAAGTCATGTGTTCAAATAGATGCCATTTATTCGTTGAAACGCCTCCGGGTGCCCCTGACTTCATGGTACTTTCATTTTTATTTTTCATCTTGACGAATCTGTCTCGCAAGGCCTTCCACTTCTCTCTTGCCTGCTGTCCTAAATACTAAATAGCATTATCAGATTGTGGTGTTAGTTGAGCAAAGCAAGCTTTTATTTTCAATTTGGTGTACTTGAAAATATTTTAGACAACGTGATTTTGCCATCAAGATAAATCCAGCAATGCCATAATAAAAGTAACTAACCAGTAACATGGAGCAATGCTCCCATCTCCGCCCAATTGTTGGATTTGATATTAACATCACGATAATCGTGACGACTCATGTCATACAGACATGGTCTAGATTTCACCTCATTTATTAAAAGCTCTTCAAACGACATGACTGTGAAACAAAGTTTGTAATGAATTCAAAATACAATTGTTGTTAGAATTCATACCGGTATAGCAAATAGTAAAGACTACAATCCTTCACTAGTACTTGCAATCAATTTTATTCTGACCTAGATAACGGTACCTAATTTGGATATTTAACTTATAAATTACGATAAACGGTACCTAATTTGATATTGCAGTTATAAAATGCGGTACCTTCTGATCTAAGCAGAATGTAAAACCACTTCCAACGGGAAGCAGCCGACACCGCCGCAAAAAAGCACGTGGAATTCGAAGGTCAGTCGCGCCGAAAAACGCTCAGCGAGAGAATCAGCAGCGGCACCGCGCGTCGTCGTTAGGTGCCGCGCTTTCAGTGTGAACGGCGTCACTTGAAACAATGGAGAGCGATCTCGAGCGCATTTCGCAACGCGTCGCGACGCATCCAGTGTAAACGCACTCTAAATCAATATTCGAATGCTATAGATTAATTTACTATTGTGCATGATGCAAAGTTACATTTAAATGATTTTCAGTCAAAAATATTCTAATATATAATGTTTGCTCCAACGAAACGGTGATCTATATATATGTATATTTTGGTGTTCAGAGTACATACACTCTGCAATAATAGTTTAAGTAACTTTACAATCTTTAACCTTTCTTTACAAAACAAATCTGCTTTTTGATTCTATACATCATTTTACAGTACCTGTATCCGTCATTTTGATTCTCTACAACTTGAAGAAATACTACAACTGCGATAACTATTCGCTTCCGTACACCTTAGCGTTTTATATAGGCATTTCGAACAGGTTCGTTTTTCAATATATATGATATAGGCTACGCATTTTTTTTTCTTCATTTCAATGCATTTGTTGAACCTTAGAGGGGTCTTGCATTGTGAATTGTCACATTTGAATATAGACTATTCTGTCTTCCGTCATTGCTTACACCGTTCTCAATCGCGACTTCGAATTGACAAATATTTCGATTTCCACTTCGGCTCGCGGTTCAGAAACTCCCGACTTGTGTTATGTTCTGGTACTTTGTGTACTTATATTATAACTGGCTACTTCTAATAGCACTAACGGACTGATTTATACGATTCGGTATGTTGTATAGCTGAAACTTGTATTCGTCATTCAAAACGTTACACACAGATTACATTGGATACAGAGGCACGCTCGACGATAGCTGAACACGGAAACTTCTAGCTTACTCTAGTGTGACCTTTTGACCTTGAGAGATAGTTGCCAGACATTACATCTTACACTCCAGCTCCCCACTCTCTGATGATTAATTTTTGAATTCGAGAAGCGTATCTTATAGCTTTATTTAGATTCTTTCAAAAATCTTGGGTTAATTAAGTACCTATGCAGTTTCTGTGAAAATTTTTAATCTGACTCGCTCTTTTCAAAAATCTGAACTTGATACTCCGACGAGTTCAGCACTTCGACTCCGACGCCAATATCAAACTCCGGATTGGTATAATAAAACACGATTGAAAAACATTTTTAGCTGTAGAGTCCGACTCAACAGCTCTGATTATATTCATGACAGTACTTTCGGCTTCTTCGTATTGTGCTCGCTGGCGACAGCAATCTCCAGCCTACATCTTGTGTGTGTCGGTTTGTCAGCGACTCTCAATTTTGTGTCGTTGAGTGGGTAGTTCAGCTATTTTTGGCGATATGTTCACCCCTATTTAATTTGTATTGAAAAATTTCCGATTCAATGCAGCATTGACTTCAAAAGAGTACCATCTATAATATTTTTCAATTAAATAAAATTATTCTGTTATTTTCAGTTTTTTGAATGTGATTATATACACCGTTCGTGACAAGAGTTTCAGAAAAGCTTGCAGGAATGAGTTTCCAAGAATTTTCAGAAAAAAGAAAAACAATGAAAACATGCGCAGAAAAATTGAAATCAATTCTACAAGCTCAAATGTATTATGAAGCATTTCCTCGGAAGAACCATGAATACATTCATCACTGATGATATAAATGCATGGAAAAGACAGCAAATGATGTGACTATAGTATCGTTAATGCCGATCCCGGAATCTGTTATAATATCTACAAGTAGGCCTACAACAACTGCATCAAGGATGTATTTTACGTAACTTTGATGATGAGTATGTCTCCAACTATTGCTTTTACATAAAACATAATTACCCAAACATAACAATTCCGTTAATAATGCCACAAAATGACAACGAGTACAACAACTTGTATCTTCAATCCAGTTTTTCATAAATATACAGTAGTTAAATAACATGACAGCGAATGAAAACATTACTTCATTGAGTTTTAAAACGATCTTAGTAAACGGTATTCTGCCAACCATTCATTCAACTTTGTGGATATCCAATTTATGTAAAAGTGTTTACTCAGTTATTTCTTTGTTAGAATTGACAAATAAAGTTTCTGATTCTGATGAGTTTTTTATTTGGTTATTTAAATTTTCGTGAAGAAGTACAATTACAAATTTTAATTTGTTGATGGTTTATGAACTATTTGTTTTATTATAATGTGAACCCACAATGTACTATTATTTGAAAGTTTTTCTTCTTTCCTTCATTATGAGACTAAATAAAAAAATAGACACAACAAAATATTCTGTAAATTTCTGAATATTTTATTGCTGACAGTATTATTATTTTACAAATTCGTTTGACGATAAAAAAAAAATTACAAATAGGAATCATAGTTATTACATTTCTATTCTGCAAGAATGCTTCCTGTACTTGGTCAATCATGCCTTGAATATCCATAATGTTATGAAAGGTTAAGCACAAAATTAGTTCAAAAATAAACTGAAATATAAAGTGAGCAATATGGAGAAAAAAAGTCTGAGTATGGAAAAGATGAATAATAGTGAATAGCAATGGAAAAATAGGGTAAATAATAATAAGAAAGAAAAGTTATACCAGTACATTTGAATAAACCATTCAAAACTGTTTCTAAATTAGGTACAATATTTATCATAAAATAATAATTTTCTAAAATGAAATGAAAACCACACTTATGTCCATAAATGAAAATGTAAAGATATTTTGAAATTTAAAACAACATCATTTTACATTCCATGGATACATATTCCTTATCAACTCGTATTTCTTGAAACCGAAAATTCATATATTCTGGGTATGCATTTGATTAAATATCGATAAACCATTAAGTTTGTTTGACAAAGTGGAAACTTCAATATTTAATCTAAAAAACAATTTTAAACTTTTTATATCGTCTCGAAGTAATCAATATTCATATTTCTTACTACATACGTGATAATGTTGAAATTATATTTGACAACATACAAGAAGTTCATACATGTATCAACTTCAATCCTATATCAATGCCCATGACGCCCTAATAAAAAAGCAGTTTTATCGTCACAAGTTGCAACGTTGATAACCTTAACAGGATGTAGTATTGCTCTATCTTCGTGTGTAGCAAATTGTCTTTCTGATCCCATGGGAGCAATATTCAACTTTTTTTTTATCATATATTATTTTCTATTTAGTACATTCGTCAGATTCTGAATATAAGTTTTAACTGGCAAAATGGAATAACAGAAAACATTGTGTGATAGGAGCACAGTCTTGTACATATTTCACAGTTAGTGCCTTGTATACCTCTTCGATACAACATCCAGATCGCCTGCGACCTCCTTTCTCTTTATACCATCCGTTGTACTACTACATAAAACATGCTGGTATATTACAATTACATCACTGTATGACGACCCTCGATGTGTCAATGGTAGCTTTTATGAAAAGCGTATTATTCTTGATGTAATTGTTGTCTTTCAGGTCTTTGTGTGTAACAAACTTTGGATAACCAAATCCGAGATTAGAACCGTCGACATCGGAATCTTTTCGACGAATTTCTGGATCTTGGAAGTTTTTCCAGTTTGGATCAGGAGTGAATGTTACATTTATATGACTGCGTTTAGAGGAAAGTGGATCTCCCTGCAAGTATAAAATACAAAGTACATGAGATTGGCGTTTAAAATGGAAAAGTACAATCAATATGGTTTAGCTTGGTATATGCAAGAAAAGTAGAAGAGTATTTGAATAACTGGTTAATTCAATTTATAAACTGATTACAGTATAATATGAATGGATCCACATTAAATTCAAAACTTATGCCATGCCAAATTTTACAGCACGTAGATTAAATTTTGTAAAAATCACTAGAATATGTTATAGGAAACATATAAAAAAAGAAAACTCATAAGGAGACAATATTTTGGCTACGTCATGTCAGAAAGTGATATTCATTAAAGAATCAGCAGCACACGTCAAGCCAATTGTTAGGCACGTTCCATGTAAATCTCCTCACTATTATTAAAGCTACTTAGCTAAATTAACAAATTTACCTGATCAAGTATGGTGAATGTAATATCATGAGAAAACGGCCATTCCAAGAGAGAATCGTATTCTCCATTCAGAACTCGAACATACAAAGACAAGTGCGATCCGTGACCGCCACCATTGCCATTCAGAAAGGCTGATAACTGAAGTTTATAGCCGTGTCTGTGGGTGTAAAACGGCGGGCTGATCAGCTCAGCTTCTGCTTGGTCTTTTTGAGCTTGCTGGAGAGATTTTGTATATTCTGGTATTCTCCACAATAATACACCGTTGTGACTAACAGTTAAATCGCTGACCTGAAAGACAAAAATACAGGTTTAATTATAATATATTGGAACAAAACTCACAAAATTCATTCATCGATAATTGTTAAATGCGGGCATATCAGTAGGAACATGCAAGTATGGATACACAAATTAATAATTAGTTGGAAAAAATTCCAAACCTGTGTGTACACTCTCATATACTGTATATGCGAAACATTATGTTTCTCAAACATTTGGGAAAATGTAAAATAGTGAATCGTGTTGTATTTTACTCAGACTCGGTGAAATTGCAATTATATATATTTTGCGAAATAGTAGAACCACTTGGATAATTCTGAATCGATATTATTTACAATGCAAAATCATTTAATATTAAGCAATATGTATGTGTAAATCACCAATAGACATCAGTATAAAACAACACCCATGTAAATATTTAACATCAGGAATTTGCATTTAACGCCACCCTGTGCATCTGGATTCTTTTGCAGCCAATAGAAACATATTTGCATATACAAACCTGTTTTTGTAAGGTTTCGATTTGTCTCTTCTGTGTTCTTACAAGTTCAAACATAGTTCTCATGTGCACGTTCTGATTTTCTGTTAAATGTCTATCGAGATGATAGCGAGGACACTGTAAAAACATAAAAAAAAAAGATAAATATAAATAAGAAAGATAAAATTTATAAAGATAAACAACTGAAGAATAGGATAAATCTCTCATTTTTGGACACGAGAGAGACATATGGATCGTTTTCTTATCATGTTGTTGTTGTCATGATTGTTGCTAATTTTCTTGATGTTACTGTGAACAAATCGCTTTTTCCATCGATTACTGGGAGAACACCCATTTATTTATTACTGCTTTGAAAGATGGTGTTGTCGTTAGTTTTTCTAATTATGGAAATACATTGCATAATAGTTTTAACCTTTCCTCAAGCCATATTATCACCTATTGCATAAGATGACAAAATATAATTACACCGATGACAAACATTAGAACCGAAGATAAGATCGTGGGAATTTTTTTTATAATATGAAATAAAATAAAGAATTTTACACCGCACAATCCGCACTGTATGTAGCACAAATTTATGATATAGGATTTTATTAAAAGTTTATATTATTCTAAAGACCTAAACTAATTAACGATTGCATCATTGGGATCAGATTCTTATCAGCATGTCGCCTCGCCTACCACAAACAAAAATGTTATGGGAAACTTATATTTTACCAGTGGACTGATTACCACTAAAACTAAGAAATAGGTGATTGACATGACAGTCCTCCAGGGCTGGTCAGCAAGTATTAATTTGTTCATTTATACGCACCGCACATATGTCATGTTTGGTCAATGCATGGCTCATGCTCATAGATAACTGTTCGTGATTTCTGTTCACCATTTTTTCAATGTATCAAATATAAAACAGATTAGTACATGCCGATGAATTACGCTGGTCAGCGCTAGCTAGGATCAACCTATATGTACGTATATCGCTGGTGTTTTTTTTATCGTTATCTACACAACGTCTATGCCATTTGTAGTATGTAATTACTAGTAGTTTTGTTAAATTTTACCAATATTTTTAACTTCTTTTAAACTCTTAACTCATTTAAAAATGTATTATCTATTCATCAGCAACATGGCTAACTTTAGCATTATTTTCCGCTTGATACTGTTGACTGACGCTCTAATTAGGTTTTAAGATACACAAAAGAGCGTTGAAATTATCTTTCGATATTGCATATTTCTGTTGGATATTCGCAGCTGGCTAATGGGTTACTTCATTCGCATGTTAAGTACATTTTTTCGTGGTAAAGATTTTGAAAACGCAGATAGTGAAAAATATTTTGAAGACTAGCTATGAATGACAAACCTCATCCAAACAAGTCTGTATAGGAAGCCAATTTGGCTCGATACCAGTATGGTCAACCTGGTGCCTATAAAAGAAATACATCATCACACTTCATTTAAACACCTTCAACCGCGATAGAAGTAGGCCATTCGATTCTATGTGATATTTCTTTTCCCTCGCAAAAAGTAACTGTTATAATTAATTAACGAATAGAGCACGCGACAGGTTAAACCACTAATTACAATTGAAGCACGCTTAACGCAGACCTAAGAATGGGAATTGTAGACATTCCGACCATAAAATTAGTCTTAGGAACAATTAGGCGTGTTGCAGGCGTCAAGACCACGAGAAGGAGTCAGTAGAAAGAACTTCACGTACTTCTCGTGATAATCCAGTCTTTAAAGTCGTTCATGACTCAACGCTTAAATCACCAAGCCATTCTTATACGCAGAATTGCGGTCGATAAAAAATAACCGTCGATAATCTAGGCGACGATTATTGTTGATCCAGGGAAACCGCTGTATAAAAATATTAAATTCCTTATTATTCCAATATCTAGATTTGTTTACATTTTACATTCGAAACCGTTTGATAAGAATCCTATCATAATAAAAACAAAACTCTCTTGAGTATATTATTAATAATGTAATTTGCAAGGCTGAACAAATATGGGCGCTTGAAGATCGTCCTTGTATTTGGTATTTTATCCATCTATCATACTTGTATTCAGTATTTCAGCAATATCTACAGGTTATAGGTGGTAAGGTGGGCGTCACGTTTATGTATTCTGGCAGACGACCCCTAACGAAGCAGCTTCCTACAATAATACTGTCGCAAATAAAGTTTATTTTCGCTCACTAACTTTAAGGTTTTGAGGGGGGCACAGGGATACAAAGTTGTCTTTTTATTGGTTAAAGATATTTCCAATTACTTGTCGACGTTTATGCTACTTGTTCCAGCTTTTACCACGTCCACTAGCGTAACCACGGAAATAGTTTCGCTACAGCGAAATTGGAAACCATAACAAAGAAATAGCGATTTTTTTATCAAGATAGCGCAGACCGACAACAAAGAACACCACCCCCGCTTGCTCTCACCACTACTGTTTAATTAAAAATTTATGTCACGGAAATATACAATGCCAAATGATGACAATTTTAGCACTAACGGGCCAGAATGTTTTCGGCTGTTACAAGGTTACAGAAAAGTCGACGACATTTGACAAATTAAGCCTACAATAAAGGCGTTTTAAGTTGAACTTTAAACAACTCAAAATTACCACATCATGATTCTTGAAATCAAGAACGACAGCTTAAAAACGAATATAGGTCAAACCTCAAAATTAATATTTATTAATGTCGAGAGGGCACCATTTTGGATGTAAATATTTCGCTTTGGCATAGGGCATTTTTAATCGACGTTTGTAAAACGATGGCAAGCGATCGTTTACGTGACACTAAAGAACAAAGTTCGAAGGTTAATCTTCAAAGCGCTACCGGTTACAGAATTTAACTGTTGTGAGGTCAAAACGGGAATAGCGAAAGCTGGAGAACGATTTCTAAAAAAGTTTCACAGTTTTGGCAAACATCACCAGGTTTATTGACATGTGCTGACTGCAATTGTGATAGCCTAGAGAGATCTGACCGAACAATGCGTTTCACCACATGATTGGTCAGATATCTATTTATACAACAAATACCACATAGTTTAGGCGATCGGGTATGACCTACGATTATTTGAATAGATTTTTTTCAATAACTTTCAAAATCTATCCAGAATTGAACATAGTAAAATACATAATAGATATGTTGAAATCAGACTAGGGTCTTTTGAAAAGTATATCCACTGAATTTGATCAAGTTTGGCTCTGCCGAATTAATATATACCTAAACCGACAAGTCGTTGTTTTGAGAGCGTAGGGAAACTCACTTGAAATGTGCTCTATGGTGCTTGAAAAGTACGTGTGACCAAGTGGTATTGGAAAATGATTATCCGCATAGTATATGAACTACTTACTATTTTGCTATTGTTAATAGTATAAATAATGATTTTAATAGTGACAGGAAACGTTCAAATCCTAGAATTGTCTGTTTGAGATAAATTGAATATTATTGAAAAATTTATTAAAGGTCCAAAAAACGGATATTGGTGTTTTTTTCTGATGATTGATTATAAATGGATCTTCTACAAAGACAAGCAGAACGTGGAACGTCTTAAAACGCCAAAGCGTGCCAATCCAAAACAAACCTATTTAGTGAGAGATTCAAGGAATGTGTTCAATTTTTTAGATTTTAAAACCCATTTTGGTGGCGCTCATTCACTTTCAAGTTACAGCACATGAAATATTTGTGACAATGTTTTGGTTACTCCAAACTCTTGAAAATGTAATTAACTACGTACAATCGGCGTCAATAGGGCAAATGCTAACACAGCTGGCAAGCGCCTGCGTGGCAAACAATCCATAATACTACAATCGTATTTCATGACAACTCTGAATAGGTGATTTATTTATTTCAAAAATTTATGCCTGGCCGGTAAACTTATCGGCAATAAAGACTGATATGATAGTGTTTCGTTCAACAAATGAGGTAATAAGATGTTGATGTTAACAAGAAGCTATCCGTGGTACAATCCGTACTAATATTGAACATTGAATGCCATCGTGAAGTCTTATGAAGTGGTTATTCTACAATCATAGCGTGATGTAGCGCATCCACTCGACCCAATTATCACACGCCCCTTAAATGTAAAATGCTTTGTTTGATGTAATTAATAACTTATCCCTCTTGTGACTATAATTAATCTGATTTGAAAAGTGGCGTCATGTTAGATTATGGGTCATCTTAAAGTTTATACATGTAAAGGTTTTATGCTGATTTGTTAGTCTCGTTTAAATACATGAATTAAATTCTCCAGTGTTTTTGATGAATAATATTGGCACAATGGGTTGGTAACTTGTGTATGGGACACAGCTATGTAGCTGAGTGAAGATGTTAATTTATAATCTCTAATTTTGATTGTTATTTATTATTATCAAGGTTTCATCTAGTGAAAGACATAGCTTCAATGAAAACTCCAATTTATATACATTGCTAGCAAACCGAAGTACTGTAGAATTACTTTAGCACAACGTAGTCACTCTCAGAACCTTATTTGTCAATAAAAATTGATTATCGCCTTACCTTATGCTTGCATCCGACTTCTTTGTACGGGCATGCTGTAACAGCTGCTTTGCAATGTTCTTTCATGTGGATCTCTAATTCCTCGCGTGGAATTTTGAGGACATCACAACGATTTGGACAACTGATTGGATAACGAGGGCAATTCCCAAAATGAGTCTGAAATATGAATATACGTTTTAACGTTTGATAGAATAAAAAGAGTTTGTCATTAAAGTATATACGGTATACATAAATTTTCTCACAAGCAATGTGAAAAATTCCGCAATGTTATCTATATGACATTACTGAGGAGTTTTATGTATAGCAATTTGGAAACAAGCTTAATCGTGTGCAACTACAAGTTCCTTATTTCGAGTAAGAGCAACCTTGACTCGGAAGTATTCACCTTCAAAATATCAAAATTGAAGTCTTTATCGCAGTGTGGACATTTTGTTGGTCGTTTAGGGCAATCTCCGGTGCTGTGTCTTGCCAGATACTTTCTGAGCATTTTAGCTCCGCATTTGTTTTCGCAATGTACGCTTTCCATTGGGCAGTTTCCTTCGTGATCCTCAAGCTATAGAAATAAGAAAAAAGTTTCGTTAATGTACATGAGCATATGACAGCTACTTATCCCTACGAAAGATTTATTTTCATGTGTAGCGTACCCAACTTATTACATCATAGACATTTATAATCACATTTTTTTCGTGAGACATACATTTTTATAATAGAAATTAAAATTAACGATCGGTTTCCAAGTCATTAGTTAAAGTTGGTTGTTGTGTGTTAGTATTGTAGTGGTTCGAATACCATTTACGGACCGTTGGCTTTCTTTTTGTGGGCAATTCGACTCGACCGTGGCCTTGAACAAGTATTTAGTATGACGTGACTTCCTCGAATTGCTTGATTGACTTTGAAAAGACAATCGAATCAAATTACAAGTTAAAAATGATAGTCAGTGTCAGGGAGCGATGTTTTGACCTGGTTAAAGTATCCACTTCATTTTTAAAATCGCTGAACCTGATACAGTAGGTATTTATATAAAATACAGAGAATGGTGTTTCAATCCAGTGTTACACAGTGCTGCACAAATGCACATGTTTTTAGATGATTCCACGTGATTTTCTAGGGCGAGATATGTAGGTTAACAACTAAGAACGACATACCTGTTCTCCCGAAAAATCCTTCGAACAAAATTCGCAAGTTACTCTTCTCTTCACACACACATATTCCAGATGATCGGCTAATTTTGAAGCTCGCAAGCGAACACCGCATCGATTTGGACAGTCAATTTCACTGTGACTGCATTTCACGATATGGTTCTAAAACGTAAAATTTTTGAAAAATGAAGATATTGATAAAACGAGTTAAAATAGGGGTTGTTGATAACTATGAGAACTTTATATAAGAGTATGTGACAATAAAACAGTATAAACTCGTTTTGTAATATGGTATTGGAATCTTGGTGAAACCTATACTAAGAATCCAATCCTAATTTTTATGCTTCATATAAAACTTTCCACTTGAATCTTTTTCAACTATGTTTGAATTGTGAACCCTTTTCATATGTGGATCGAATGCTACCCGAGGTGCGTAACAAACAATAGTTAGTTCACTATACGACACCACAAACGCGTACCTTAAAAATTCACAAAAATCACCTATTTCTTAATTGAAAAATTTGAGTAATCTAATGTTTTGCCACAAATAACATTCATTGATAATGCACCAAACAGCCAAAGTTTTCCATTTTTATGAACGTGATGGAAAAACTGGGAGAAAATAGAAAATAACTTTAGCGACAATACAAGGACAGTCTATGACTGGCGATACATGATGTGCGTTTCTTATATAAAAAGAGAAATGAATTAGGATTTTAATATAGTGACGGCGAATCTATATCAAATGACAAACACGATTCAGACAGGGCGGGGGAGTAATACCCGACGATTTGTCACTCCGTCACAAGCTGGCGTCATGTGCGTCACGTAAAATTACGCAGATTTGACGACTAAAAAACAAAAATATTCTAATTTAAGTATAAATAACAGATATGACATCGCGATTGACTACCTATATTTAGTAGTATCAGTTTACAGAGCTAGTTAATAACTTAATTCCCAAACATTGGCAAAAAATTCACAACACCCTCAACACGCCTATTCCGCATTATAAAAAAAGATGACGTCATAAATGTTTATCCTTAAGGTCATTGCTCTAAAATCTGTTTTTTTTTAAAAGAGGCAAAATTATATACAAAGGGACTGAGTTTTATTGATAATACATCATTACCAAAAGTACAATTTCTGTGAAAGATCACACAATGGAGAAGACACAGATTGCCAAGTTCGCTATAAATATTTAATATTTCAATGGTCGGCGAGTGTTTAATGTTACCGCAACACGTTCATTAAAATTCCCTCCGTAGAATACATTAAAAAATTATCGTTCGGAGTTATATCGTAGTATGCATGGGCCAAAGTAAACTCGTACTTCGATAGCGCGAAATATTCCTGGCCATCCTATTGTAGAACAAGACTTGATTATTAAATTAAATTCCTTGGAAATAACCACAAAATCGGCCGACGTCGCTTTGATCTGTTTTACACCTGTTATTTACATTTCAACGCCTTGCTGCTCTTTGCAATTTTGCTATATCCGCACACAAAATTAGATTATTTGAGCCATGAGTTCCAATATTAAGAATTCAGCTTTACCAAACTCACGGTAATACCATGTTAATCAGTGAATTACCTAAGAGAGATTAGTATGGCATCCTTTATTACGCCTTTACTTTGCCAGTTTGGGAAATGTTCTATATTTTTTGAACGTAGCAAGTTTCGAATATTACTCGAAATTATGAAACATTTCTCGTTGAAGAATACAACTATGTTCCGAAATATTGAATAGAATTGTCATTATAATATCTGAGACTGAGTATTTTCCACGATGAGGCGACCGTGTAGACATGAGGCATCCATTGATTGAAGCAATTTTCAAATGCTAACTACGAATATAGGATTGTTAGAAACAAAACACCGCATAATTTGACAAGGAAATATGATATGGTTTTGAATTATCATTTACAGCATGGAGTCATATTTCTAATAACAATGACGCCTCCCAATTCTTCACGTTACACGTTCTGCCTAAACGTAGGTATTTACAATATAATAAAATAGGAAAAGTGCCTTCGAGAATTAGCGCCAAAATATGAATGATGAAATTTGAACAGACTTCTAATATGGATCAGTGAATTATATATGAATGCAATATATATTGTTCCATTTGATACAATGGTAGGTTGACAAACAAACTTGGGTCGAGCATGTAATAGAAAATGAGATGTTTACAAAACTTTACAGTCGTCTACTTAACTATGGTCGAAACTGGAAATTCATCTTAACAAGTTTAATCCAAAAAAGACAAGAAAATCCCAATCTACAGTGTTTGATATTTTCTCAGTAGTAAACCGCCTACTTTGTCTAGTTACTCAAATGCTAAATACATGGTATTCAAGTTTTGTTGTGGTTTTCACTTGGTATTTTAACATGAAAATTGCTTCCGGAAACCGAATCGGATAAATATTGAGTAGTCAATTGAAACAATTGCAATAAATAACAGAATGCAGGAAATAGAGAAATGCCGCTGACCAATTATTGAGTTTATAACAGTCCCCTAAACATATGCAGCAAAGTGTGTTTCCCTCATTATAAATATAAATTGTATCGTCAAAATCAAGTTATGGATAATCAAACATTTTTATTGCGGGATTCGCATGTCTAGCACTGTCACTTTAAATTAAATTCAACTATTTATCAGGGCGTATTGGGCGTTTTGTTAATAAAATATCTGGTCATTAAATCAAATTATGAAAAGTAATAAACTATCTTACGGAGCAATAAATTACAACCGAGGCGATGGATTTCACCTGCAACTTTCAATTCAAGTGGCTTCGTAAAATTGCTAGGGGCAATGAGGTCAATATCGTGGAGTTTCAAATTAGGTTGCACACAATTTTCAAGTTAATGATATAATATTTGAGTCCGCAATACGATGAGTTTACAACAAACAGAATTATGAAAAATACCTTCAAATTGTGCAGTTTCCCCGTCCATTTACATCCGACAGAATAGTTGGAACAATGTGTTGTCAAATTCATGATTTCACCTTCGAGGTCTGGGTCTGGATAAATCTGAGAATTAAATAAAGAGACACTGATTAAAATGGTGCATTCGCAAAGAAAACTAATCTAAATATTTATTCAAACATTCAAGTGGGAATTTACTTTGGTTCGTGCATTCGTTTCATTTATTTTATTACAAGGCTTGTTGCAAGCATTACACTTCGGATCTCGAAAAAAATGTCCTTGTCTAATCCTGTCCTGTCGTTAAAATTACACTTTATTTCGCACGTACAGTAACGAGCTGTTGCTATAGCTTCTCTGTCAATAATATAACTCTGTGGAAGCCATTTGACAGGCAACACCTTCGATCCGCGGGCAAACTTATAAAATTAATGATTCACCTAACCCTTACAGCTTTATGGCTTGTCGTACAAGAGTCGTAAAATCGTGTAAACTAAATCTTTGGATTTTTACGATGACGTTCGGCATGTGCAACCTAATCTTGGATTAAAAAGATAAAGCTTTTTATCGATTCATCTTTCAGATCTGGTTGCTACACGTTACAATCACGTGCTTTGTGTATATTGTGCTAGAAAAACACCACTGCTTCTAAACTTGATAGAAAATGGCACCATAACATACTGATAAGCGAATTTCCATTCAATTCGTTACTTTTTTCACTAAGTTGGTATGTTTTATTAATCGATCATTCTGCACACTACGATGCAACACTACCCAAGATATAGGGTATATCGCTACAATAACGGTCCTAACACAGACTTGTATTTGACAACAAAATAACTTTCAAATTGCTTAATTTCATTGAGACTTACATTGAAATAAACCACTGACATCTCTCGGTCATTCCTTGCTAAATTAAATTTGAATGGACGTACTTCGAAAGCAAAATATACACTTTATAGATATTCCAATGAAAAAATAATAATGTCTAAACAGATTTGAAAACAATTGTGTAGGGCAGTAATAAAAGCAAAAAATCTATATTTTGAAACAAATCTCGGTAACCATATGTCGTTACATGAAAAGTGACATGCGTTAGGCGATTGTGTTGCAACGGTGTGCCAGGTAATTGCATATCACAGATACCTTGATGTCTCGAGGGACAGGTCTGATAACGCTGTAGAATAATTTGACTAAAAACGATTTCCAAAGCGTGATTTGAACTAATAAGGCATATGGCTTACGAGTCCGCAAACTACGTAGCATGTAATGGTACTAAAATTAAAGCATCTTCTGTTCAGCCGCAAAATTTTGCTTTTTTAAACATGGCTAACCGTGACGAACTCCTTGAAATTTATGTGAAGTGATGACACGAGTATGCTAAACAGATGTAACTCGAAAATTTTTTTCACAATTTTCACCAGTTTTTTTTTTATCAAATTTGCAAATAAAAAATTATTAGGGAAAAGTAATTGAAAGAATAATCGCAAAACAATATCATTGTTTTATTATTCAAAATGTTTAATAAACATGAGCAAAACCTGATTTATTCGGTGTCGATCAAAACGTCATTATCAATGTATGAATTATCCTTTTAATAAAGCCTGCGGGGTTCAACAATCAAAAAGAAAATGCTTTCATCCTTTCATCATAGGTTGTATTTACCAAGTATGATGGACAGATTAATAAATCAAAATACCATCACTATCCATAGCAATTCGAAGTAAATCACGAACTAAAACGCAAAAGGTTAGTAACGAAGTATATAACACAAGTTACATTCTGGCACAATATGCACCAAATACATGGCGCGTACCCCGTAGTTCAGTTAGGCGAAATGCTTCGCAAAAATAAGCTAAATTTTACGGAATTTTCACAGCGGTAACGACGAAAGTGGGCGGTCTGGCAGTGACGCAACATGTGGTTAGTGACAGCGTAGGTTCGGAATTTCAATTGCCGGTGTGTGATTTTGTTATTATTATACATTGCGAGTATATATCTGAAATCAAAATAATATTTCCGATTCACAATGTTGGTGTAATATTTCAATTTCTGGTATAAGATTAACACCAACTACCACTAACAAACGAATTAATGACTCCAGCGACAGTGTTATATAATCAAGAGTGATCTCATTTAGTATGGGTCAAGCCCATTCCGGGCATTGAGATACCTTTTACCGGCGATACCTGATAAGAAGAATGCATTTAGCATGCTCTATCAACCGCATAATCCCAATAAGGTTGCGGATCAACGGGGACCAGATCTGTTGAACAAAGAATGTTGGATAACGATATTGCATTGAACTAGTGCCAAAACCATACGGGTAAAAAAGACGCCATATTGGCTATAGGTATTTGTACACGGGGATTCGAAGTCCTAATTCGAGTATACTGGAAAAAAAGTAGATATGAATATTTACATCACTGCCATTTACAAACTTTGAGTTAGAAAAATGCCTGGTTACGACATCGTTTATTTATATCCTCAAACATAACTTTAATTAACAAGTTTACATTATGTTCACCGTTACATCACCTCCCTAACATGCAAATCGCTAGTAACACGAATACTCAGAAAATTATTACAGCCCTGAAATCAGATAAATTATAATATTGCCGCGCCATGGTAACCATGTATAAGCCAACATAGGACTGTGACCACAAACTAACCCGCTTGTTAAACATATTATGATTAACGATGCAAAACTGCAAACAAATGTTGTCACATACCCCAAAATACGTTGGCGAATAAACTACATTTAGTGTCGAATTGCTGACTTACATGTGTTTTGGCATTAAATCCTTTGGTTTTTAATGAATATTTAGATGTAAAACAAGGTCGATTATCCAAATTTTATGAGTCACAAAATGAAAGCGTTTACAGTAACAGATTAGACTAAAATGATCAGCAAAATATACAGTGCCGGTAGCGTACTACATCTTCTTCCTCCGATGACACTGATGTAAACAAAAGAACTACCGGTTACCAGCTGTGGGTTACAGAATCACCATGGAACATATTGTTGAATGCCCGCTGCAATGGCCGCTACCGGTCACTTAAAATTTGCGTTGGACGTCACCGGTATTGTCCAGCGGTTATTCACGCTTATACAAGTGGATTATTGAAAGCTACTCGCGGCCTTAGGATGCTTATTCAGGGGGCGTTAGCCTACTTAAGCTTAAGATGACTCACTATGTATTGAGTACGGATATTACTATACGGATTTTGATACCCTTGGTTTTAACTTCCGTACGCGGTTTAACATTTCACCAAATGAATCAAGACGAGGGTCACTATAATCAAAACCGTTTGTCAATATTTTTATTTATGAATAGTTCATGCGTAAAAAGCAATGGACAGAATTGAATGTAAAACAAATGCATGTCCAGATTCAAGTCCAGCCCAATGTTATTTGTGTATGTACAGCCGATACACTATGTAGAAAGGACATTTAGTTAAGCCCGGGAGCAGTTTAACATTTGTTTCGTTGTTTCGTATAAATACAAAGTTCATGACAAAATACCAAATGCGTTTTATATTGACGTAAATTCTATGCGAAACAAAGAAAGTTATCATTACGCCACCAGCTATCTTATTCCCTGATTGCAAATTACCCGGGTATTATATTCTCATAATGATGGTAATCGAAACCGTTTACAAACGTGTGTTGGTCAACTTCAAGCTGTCGTAATATATAATTTCACATAAACGGCGTTTATTTATTAAAACCGAGCAAATAACGGTACTGATTATCGTGTTTGACCTAACGTATTTGATGAAATTTTAGATCTGAAATTAATATAAGGATTCGATTTCAAGGAATGCGTGGGAATTTAAATTTCATATCATACAATAGACTGTGTCAATACTTCATTGTCTATAATATACCGTGCGAATTCAAAATCGGGAAATCTAAACCGATTTAAAAATCTCAATTTTCAATTATTATTACCAGTCAGGCAGTCATGCTAACTATTTGTCATTTTAGTATGTTTCATATAATTTGATACAATGATAAAATACTTTGTTAAACCTTATAGCATTTTTTAAATAGTCTTAAACGGGCCATATGAGATTGATATGAGAAAGAAGCGAATTTGGATAGATCGAATGAATACAAGGCAAGCCCAAAGCTCAATATAGAACAAAGAATTCGCCATTTACAATGCACTTGTATTTTCTTCGTAGACCATGGCGCAGTACTCTTGACCCCAGTGTTACGTTACATTAATCACGAGGTAGAATTTCTTCCAACAAAGAAAAAGACATACAAGATATATAGCCTATTAAAATTTTGGCAATACTCCTATATCAAAATTCCTTAATCAGGTATTCTATTGGAGTTCGCTTGTACGGGGGTCGACCTTGCGTTTTGTTGGGGTTATCGTGACCGCAAAACCAAAAATTACGCAAAGCGTATATGACGACCGGTTAGGAAATCGCACGTAAATGTCAATTACGTACATTGTACCTTAACGACATAATAACCCTAGAGCACGAGTTGTCAGAGGAATTACGATAAAACAATAATTTAGTTAATTTACGGAAGCATAGTTATTTATCAAGATTGATCGTTGGGAGTTGAATTTCGCCCACGTATCGAAACTTTGAAATCAAAATTTGTCGGGCACCATACAAAGTTGGAAAATTCATAGGCCACGTCAAATTGAAAATGTACGAACTTTAGCCGATGGACAGATTTAATTATCATTCCATTTAGAAGCAATAGCACATCATTACCGACCACGCCAATTTTCCAACAACAGGGAAATCACGACTCTATATGAGTCGTGAAACAAGATAACGTAGTCAAATATGTATCAAAGTTATTGGTCATCCAATTAGACCCATTGAAACACAAAGATGACCTGCCGAGTTCGCAAATATTCGAGCAAATGACGCTCTAACTATACATGAAATGATCATACTCATGGAGCTTACCGGTGCCGGTCCCGATCCCGTACAATAAAAAACGACTCACAAAATTATCGGGTAGACAGTGCCACACGGTCGCGTTTTAAGTGGAATATAAATTTTGTCGAAATTTGAGTCATTGTTGAGTTAAATGATAACAGCAGGAGTTAAGTTATCTTATGATTTATTCAGAGTTAGAAAATACGATTTTTCCTTTTGAATCGTGTAGCTTTTTATTATCGAACACATTATTAATAATTCACATTGTCAAATTTGTGTATGTAATTATGATATTAGATTATATTTTATTCTTAGGCCTTTTGTCATGAAAATTTCGGAAGAGTCACAATGGAAAGATGTTTAAAATGACAACTAAACCTTAAGCAAAACGTATCGAATATAGTGAAAGCAAACAATGAATTGTACAGAAAACGTATGAGAATTTTAAACGTTCCGTTATTATTGCTCTGAAAATATCCCACGGAAATACACTCAAAAAACGCCGCACTCACTGAAGCAATGTTTAAAGCTTGCCCAAAATGCTCATCAGTATTTAATATTACTTGTGTGGCTTATCAAGTGCCAATCTTAACATAAGTTTTCCAAGTCATTTTAAATTCTTTGTTAACTTGTCAGAAAATCACTAATACTACATTATGTAATATAAGTTTTTCGTCGGTTTACCGATGGCAATTATGCTCAAACATAAAGCTGCAATTAGTTACCTAAGGCAGCAATTATAAAAACCATGGTACTAAACGAAGATGAAAAAGGTCCAAACAATTAATAAAATTTATCAGTTTGTTAAAGCGATTTGTGGGTCAACTTGGGTTACGTAATGAACACATTTAGCTTCGACAATAACCAAATATGACAATAAAAAGAGTTACGTCGCGTCCGGTTACATGATACTCTTAGGCTAAGTAAATTATAATTAAAAGCTTTTAGAGGCATTACAAGAAAGTGTAGACTAGACGGTTTCAATGAAAGCGACATCACGTAATACGCCGGTTACGCCAGGCTGAAATTACGGATTGTGGCAGAACTGGCATGGACATCATCACTTCCTGTGACGCCTGTGCCAATTTGCGATTTTGATATGATGAGACGCCGCAATAAACAAAGACCTAAACAGATAGTGTTTCCATCTGTATACAGTTGAACACAGTAGCAATGGATGCCTAAAATCTAAAACATTTCTCATTTATACAAAACCTATTATTGGTCACCCATGTACATCGAACGCTATGGCACCAAAAGATTCCGAACCCGAGTGCTTTTAAACAGAATTGTACTGAAGTTGAAATAACACAAATTAGTAACTAAAAAATGACTTTTTTCAAACAATGGATTGGGTGGCAGCGTGTCTACTCCCCACTGATGTTCAAGTAATCTTTATATCTTGTTACTGAAATAAACCGGTACCAGTACCTTGGCCTTATATATTAAAAATATAAGCGTTTACCTTTGCAAAGTCGAGAGACAGATGATCCACTGGGCAGTTGAATACTCCAGCTCTGTAAAAGAATAAGATATATTGAATATTTTTCAAAACATAATTTTTTTTTCTAAAAATAATTCTTATCCTCATTGCAAATGTTTATTGTAAGACACTTCCATAAATGAAAAAAAAAGAAGAATTGACCCAAATCTCGATTTTGTCAGAAACTGTGATAGATAAGAATGAAATACGATATAAGTGCGAAGTAATACAATTAAGTGAATTCATCATTGAAAATCAGACATCGACATGAAACTAGTCATAGTATTATGCAGACTTGAACTGCAAAAAATGAAAACAATACATTTCTCAATGCCAATCTCGTTATACACATTGCCGTAAAATGATTCACACTTCCTACTTGAAGATTAGTGTTCGAATTACCAATAAAAAAAAAATTCCAACGAAAACAATATTTTCCAGCTTCGTTAAGGGCAAATGAATAATTCTCCTAGTTCTTCCTTCAACAAGAGCCCATTCAAAAACAATAACCAAATCACGAAGAAACTTTCTTGCACACCAACAACTAGAAGTATTCGATATTTATCAAGTATTTGACTTAAAACACATATGACTAAGACAACGCAACTAACTTATAGAGTTCAAATCCGATGAATAAGTGAATAGGAATGTAATATATAAACTTATATATATATAAACCTTAATTAACAAACAAACAGACAAATCCGCCAGTCAGCTGTGAAAAAACATTTACTTCTAAAGATAAAGCGGGATGCCAAGTTTACTTAACACTTTATAGCTTAAGCTTCTTGAAAGTTATTTATTAATCAAAAAAGAAAATGAATGCAACGATATGTGTGATATCAATAGTGGGAAAATACTAGATGACTAATCCGACATAAATGTTGTTACATCGAAGGCTAGGGAGCGGCTGTACATAGGTGCGAACATAAGTTGACGTAACCGGATTCGCGACGTATTTCACACCGAAACAAAAAGTTAGCAAAATATTTTCATATTTCATCTGTTGCATTACTTTCATAATTACAAATGATTTCTTGAAATTTTGGGAATTAATTTCCAGCCTCAGTTGTTTTGCTCTTCACCGAGCGCGATACGTCGATTGGGCGGTCACACACAACAAAAAACTTCTTCAAGGTAATCAAAGAAATAATTCAGAGGTAGATTCATTTACTTTGTCATAAAAAATCAAACGTGTATAATATTACTTAAAGGGAAATTATACTTATAAGAATATTTAGGCCTTGTCAAAGAACAATATGTGCAGTTAAAACAATATACCGGTAATTAGAGGTTATTGTATAATAAGTGCAACTATCCAAGGGTAAACCACATAATGATAATAATTCCAGTCGAAACTCACAAAGTTTGTAACGAAGAAACGAAAACCATGAATATATATATATATATTACAAACAATAAGTATGGCTAAAATTTCATGAAAGCCGGCGCAGCCTAAAGCAAAAATTTCATGGTTGCATGCACCGTGGACCTTTAAACCACATTCTGCAACTTTTACGCCGAACGTAAACAAAAACACGTGAGGCGGAAATATTCGACGGCATTACTTGAGCGAAATTTGATATGGCACAAGACACCACTTCGAAACAGTGTGGATACTTTTTCCTGTCACACGTTCTAAAATTTGAAATTGTAATATTCTAGGCTAAACGACGTGTTGAAATCGAAAGCGATCAAAATAGATGCAAACGATTATTAAAATACAGTATATTACCATGTACGATAAGATTATACTACAGTCAGTTATACCGCATGTATTGGTAGTACAAATATCGATATACTAACATCTGAAATTCTTCCTGTACAACCGATGAGCAGGATGTATGAAACTACAAGCTAATGGCTAATACTATACTGTCAACTAATAATAAAATGGAACTTTTCCCTAATCCCGCAAATTGGACAAATTTTTGTAAAGATTTCCGACAATAGAGTCACCCAAACCAGACACGTGACTCAAAATATTAGTTACATCCTTAAATAGTTGACCTTTCAAAATTCAATAACCATTCTCCATCAACAATTAGTCATATTTAAGATCATACTATACCCACTTAATCTTATAACGCCTGATTCAGAGCCCTAGTGCGGCCCATTTAAGGCTCAAGGCTATTATAATTATAAAAGAACTCAGCTATCACAAATGGAGAAATTAAAAATTAATACACAGCAATAGTCTAAGTTTTACCGCCCGATGATAATAGTCGTAAAACCACAAAATCGACATTTGTGACGCTGATTTTCTAGAATATTACATTACCAGAGGATGTGATCTAATAATTTTACGGTTGCTGGATGAGGAAGATCGAATTACTAAAATTTAAAAGTAAGACTTGATATTTTCTTAAAACAAGTTTAACCAGACATGAGATGCTTTTTCGGATTTCCTGGAAAAGTCCATCGGGCAGTTTACGATTGAGGTAAAGGGAAGTGGTGGACATATCGATTGTTTTTATTTCGAAATTATATACAAACGGAAAATAATACCACATAGCCCTCTTATACTAAATTTATTTAACAAAGGACCATTTTCAATTAAACTTGTAAAGAATAAACTGACTCAACACGTAGAAAAGCCAACATCAGTTCGCAATATTGATGAAATATCTAAAATTACATCACTCAGAACAGTTAGATTATCCTATCATGAAATTTAGTTGGGTCACGATTCATGGGAAACAACAATCACCGTTCAAACTCATGTATATATGAATCGTTTAAAAAGTAATTGAAAATTTTCACATCACAAATTTTCTTGTTGTTTCATATATACCGTAACTATGAATAAGATAATATTATATTGAGCTGGGCAAAGATATTCATCACTATTTATAATTATTTTTCTAACTTTGATGTCAGCCCATAAGCCTAATTATACACAAATATTTATAGGAAACCGTCTAAATCGAAAACAATATTCCAAATTAGACTCATGACAGTATATGTTTCAATGATCCATCGACCATCAATTCAAAATAACTGATCGGTGCAAAATATCGTTGACCCATTCGAGAAGTATGTTAATCAAAATTGAGTCGTTCTGGTAAAGGATTGGAAACGGGGATTTTTATGCTTATTATTTGAATATGGTTCTATCTATCGTATTAAAAACACAATTTTGAAACGAATGCCCGGCACCTGAGCACACCGACCAAATATTCTAAAATTGTCCTATGTCAAGCAAGATCAAATAAATTGTCTGAAGATTCCACAGCAAAGGCTTCATGCATGAATGTGACTTTACCACGTTACGGACAACAAATAAATTTAGATAAATCCAATTGCGGAAATCTAAATTGAATAATCAACATATCCTCCATATTACTGCTTCTGTTAAGTCGGATTGAAATCTTAACAGTTGACGGCCAAAACAAAATATCGCACGGCGTCTATACCATAAACCAAAACAAGTCAAACCAGTTTAACATGGAATTAAACTTATCCGTATCTACCCAGCGTATCAGAACCGCATTACGACAGCGTGACATGTGTATTTGACAACTTGTTTTACATTAATATACCAAAATACATGAAACCTACTAACCTTGATAAGATATCACACAATGGGGTTAGCTTATCAAACCGTGGGAAACTAATGATAAACTATAAACAAGTATACAAACAGAGCCAAAGTTAATTATAATCTTACTTTGGCAACAACTCCCACGGGTCGTCTTAACTAAACAGGCTATACTTTATTGATGGCCTCGAGAGGCTCGTTTGATCAAAGTTGATACCTTCTGAACCTTGTTAATATTGCTAAATTTAAGTAATTGATCACATTTGGTTAACTGAACTCGATTTGCATATTTACAGTTTTGACTAAATGCAAATGAAGAATGATATAGAGAAAATGAATCCCTTCAAAATTGAAAATTTAGATTGACAGCGTTAGAAAATTTACTATAAATTTGATTAAGAGGCTTCCCTCATTTACAATTGGGAACTTTAGAACTAAAAAATAAAGTAGCGGTATGTATACAATAAAACAAAGCGGGCGTGAAAAACATTGATTTTTGGACAGGATAAAAAACAATGTCAATTCCGCAAGTCAACACAAATTGCAATTACAAGTAAATTATGTATGGCTAGCAGCACGGTTCTGTGTATTTCACTGTGATATGAATAGCACGTATGATACTGAATATTATTCCAAAGGTCACTGTAATCAATGATAGATTCAATAGCGTTTGAAAACATCTGGAAAACGTCTTCCTGTATATGTTAGGACTTGTAAACCAAACTAGACATATTGTAACGCCGCGTGGCTGTCGATATCCACAAGATAGTTATTGTTAGTTAGTAATCCAAGACTTTTGTCGGATACAAATGAAAAGACTTTAGTAGGTCGTGCCCACTCTGTTGTAAACGATCCTCTGGACGCTTTCCCCCGTCCAATCCATTTCAAAACATTGTAAAATCAACAATTTTGATTATTATTGCCCTGTAGGTATTGTAACCAAACGAATCATAGAGAGTGGTAAGGCGATACTTTTGTTAGTAAAGAACAGCTGGTCATCAGGAAAAGGACGTTAGGTTTGTTGATGGATCACATCGTTCTTTTCAATCACACCACTCGAAGTGGCCGCCGTTTCTAACGATATGGCCATTACACCGTATTGATATGAACAATTCATACATTAAAAAATACAAAAGTGTTCAAACATTGAGTACAATCACGAAAGCTTACATATATAGACGTTATAAACACCATGGTGTCCAATGTTGAAAAAACATGGGTGAAAATATTCATCACGTTATATCTACAAACGTGCCTATAACTTAGATACCGTGATTATTTGGATTCTGGCATTACGGATGTAATAAAGGCCCATCCCCTGGCTCACCTTGGAGAACATTTGTTAGGTCAATAGATAAGCTATATAAACATAAGCATGCGTCCCCATGTATACCCAAAGTAAATACACCAAAGAAGAAATAGACAAAGTTTTTGATAGTTTCTTCTTGTGTTCTTTGTGTCATTAGTACACTATTTGTTTACGATATTTTTTGTGCGATTATGACCAGTCATTCTTGTTAATGCAAATTTTATTTTCAACATTCCCTAAAGTAAACTTGTCTTGTCACATGTGATTTACACCAAAACAGATGAGACGATGTATCCATATTTTCAGCATCATAAAGATTCAAAACGACTATCAAGAACCCGACCACCAGGACTGTGGCCTTATTGTTTTGTCATTAATACCAACCAAAGCCACCAAAGCGAGCAATAGCAAAACATTATAAAGTATCTTCTACTTTTTCTAGATACTTTGCTTTTAGTTTTTAATGTGAGCAAACTATACATGGCCTAGAAAAAATAAGTGAATTCAAGTAGTTGCAATGTGGGTGTATCGAATTACTGGCAACAAGTCGCTACTGTGGTTTGGTGCGTTTCTAGTCATGATATTGGAATGCAGAGTGCGTGAGGTGTACTGTTACCTTTTAGAAAAGTCAGATAGAATGTGGGTGAGAGAAGGTTGACTCAGAAAACAAATTTAAAGTATCATTTTCAATCACAAACCAATTATTTCAATGAACCAAAATATACCTGCATTAATGGACAATATTAGATTTCTTGCAGAAAAAATGTATCCCCAGTTCCTTATTTGTATTGCCATACGAGTTTGCAATTCTCTAACTAGCGATGGTCAAACGTATATTTAGTTGGCTACAAGTGACTGCAGGACAAAAGAGGGTTTAATACACCCACTCGCACTTGTAGGGTAAATGATGCAGGGGCTTTCAATTGTAGTAAAGCGTGATGTGCGACCCCATACACATTCACTTGAATAAAGAAATTACAAAACAAAAATCGTACCCTATTCCCCTAAAGCTGTAGGCTGTGTTACGTGGGTGGCAAGTCATTTCAAATTATTTTTATGTAGGCTAATGTAGGTGTTGATGCATATACAGACTGCCAAGCGGCAAATGTGTTAAATTTTCGATGTGAAAGATGTTCAAGCTCGGTCTTTGTTAGAAGTTTGCTGTTTTAGTGAATGGAAACAGATGAGTGGATTTGCAAAGATAGAAATCAACCTCTTCAACAAAAGCATTTGCCTTCATTCCACCTCTCTATTATTAACAAATTTATGGTGTTTATTTGTAGATAACGTAGTGTTTATATGGGTCTCGACTTTAAGATATCGTTTTACCACCGTTCCTACTTTACAAGGTTATTTTGCATTTAAATAAGACTTTATTAAAACTTTATATTTGATAGGAAACCATGTTGCAATCTCAAAAAACAGACGTTAAGAGACTTTTGGTGTAAACTCAAACAAATAAATTCGGTAGATGACTGCGGTCATAGGCGCAAGGTAATGCTTAGAAAATGGAGCTTATACATAACTTGACCGTTGCATATTTCTAATGTGTAAAAAATCAATATTATCCATATGTGCAAAGTGCAATTTTCATACGAGTCAGCCCTAAATACTATAAAGGGATTTTGTTGAAATAACATTAGTGTAACTGAACCCGAACTCATTTATAATGCATGCTTGTTAGTCTTGTAATTTACTCACTGATTCGATACGGCTCAGACTATATCGATTTTTAAATACATTCACGTTACTATTTTCATTCAACGATGTTGAAAATGGAAATTATAATCCAAATTAACACGATTCTGGGCTATATGGGACGTTTTAATCCCAGGAGGATATATCCATCCGCTTAAATTCAAGCCATCATGATTTAAAACCTGTTATTAATACTGCTTTTACACGAACTGAAAAAGCATTTGGAACAAAAGGAAGGGAAACATATTTGCGGAAATCCTATATCCATGTTATTACTTTGCACCGTATGTTGATCACATCCACCTTTGGATGATTCATTTAGGTTTATCCGGACCCAAACTAAATGTTACTAACCATAATAGCACGCAGTGTTCGAGTTTAATTTTGCTAGTAACCAACATATCTTTGCATTGATAAATATTATATTAGTACGTAATTATTCAGTCATAATTAATAAGCATGCGTAGATAATTTAATCGCATTGATAAGCTACAATAATATCCATAATATTATTAAAAACCGTTAATAATATTTCATGTCATATCGGTATGAATCAATATACGAAAGGCCGGTAATTATTGTAATAGGCAACGATCATAAATACTATAATATTGTAATCCATACACGTTTTAAAATTTGCTCTCGTATAATTTTTGTACTACGGGTGGTATTTATATATTGTTGAAAGTGTATAATATGTTGATTGCGCAATGTTGGGGAAGCTATAGTATATAAAGTATGGCGGAGCTATACTTTAAATCACAAACAACATGTTCCATACACTATATTAATACACATGTTATTGTGTTTAATCCCAGATCATTTTGATAACCCATACCGACATATCAGTAGCGCATTATTTGTATTGTTGGTATTTTTTTCCACTCCCATTTAAAAGCATCTCCATTGTTGTAAGAAATGTTTTAATAACATATTAAATTATAATTCTTACTCGCGTCCGTATCAGAATTGAATTCCTAACATACCTGTGTCAAATAATTCCTATTGATCAGATAGGGCATTTTTGTGTTATGTTCTATTTAAATGTATCGCATGTTTTGATTTGCTCGTCGTTGATGTCTTTACTCGAGAGCCGACTTACTCGACACCTATTAAGGTCAAAATTAACTAAATCGAAATAAGGTTTTCAAATCTTGTATTATCAAAACAAAGTTTATTCTATTACTAGGATATACGCAATCAGCGAAACTCATCCCTAGCTTTATGAACAATTTTTTTTTGGATTGTAAGTAATTATACTTGACAACACCTTCGTCAGCAATGGTGGCACGCGTTTCTTTTTAAAGCGGCTTCTAATCGAGACTATTTACATATGAACTTGAGCAAGCTCGCTAGGTATGAAAACGTTCACCAGACTTGAAAACATTTTATCTTGAAATAAAATCGCCGGTAAATTCGTTATTGACAAGTTGAATCCCAGATGTGCCAGGCACAAAAGAACAACATACATAGCACATTTGGTGACTTTAGTAAACGAATCGTGCATACACAAGTCACGGTAATCTAATTAATACTTAAGTTCAAATCCAGCGAAACTTTCCGGTTATAAACAGTGGCTCTACTGAATAACAAACGATTTAAAACTACGATCTTATATTTTGTATTTCAGATTTTTTTAATAATGCCAACTCCAAGTAAAACCCCACCTTCATGACGGTAGTTTTTGATGTAAAAGGCATTCCGATTCTGAATACTGATAATATTATTTCATTTTTTTGCAATTTGCCTGGCGCCGTACATCACGTTGTGCAAAACATCAAACGAATGTAATCCAGGGGACATGGGATTTCAGTTCAGTTGTGTGCAAAAATCGAACCCAGATCCATATAAGTAACAACTAATCGGCTTAAAAGAATAGATCATGTGTCACTTCGGGTAACAAAAAATAACAAAAGGCACGTGATAGACGGGCTTGTGATTATCCACACAGACAATTTTCTTTATACTCTAACTTTCTGATTAGTTAAACGCGAAAAGATTGAAATGCAGACTGAAATTAATTGTCTGGTTCTAATACTATTAAATGACTAAAAATGGCAAAAAATTTAGAAGACAGTTGCCCGAATTCTTGAAACCTCTGTTTCAAATGAGATCAATTATAAAATTTTTCCAAATAAATTTCACGAGATATGGTACTCGGGTGGCCTATATGCACTCACTGTAACGTGAATATTTAAATACGCTGTTACAATCATGTTTTCATTGATTTCTGTTTCCAAGTAAAATAAAAGGTGAAATGTGAATGAAAACCCCGCGGCATACAAAATTCTAAAAATGCACTTGCGATGCGTGTCGCAATTAACCCTGCGCAGACAAGCCTAAACACGCCTGGATATGCGCCAGTAACTACAAGCATTCTTTGTCTGGTTTTCGTGGGGAAAAGAACTTTTTGAAAAATGACCATATGCGTTCACAGTAAAAATTAGTACAAGAAATAATGAAACTGCCAAAATTCTTCGAATTTTTCTAATTACTGTTTGTTTTATATTTTAATACATGAGCAGCATCTAGATGAAATCTAAATTTTTGGTCACGGTTATTCTTATTACTTATTTTAACAAACGGTCGGTACGAATCAAGTGGCAGAAATAACAAACTTGGTTAGGCTAATATTATCCCGTCAAAACTATTTTTTCAAATACTCTGAATTTCACGCACGAGTGTGAATATTTCTTTCTCCGAATATTGAAATCGACTCCAATAAATTGGTTAATGTTTTACTTTTTATTTATAGATATGCGAAGTTCTATTTGATCGGCTGTTATTGGCGCCAGAATGAAACGGCGGACATAAAAATATACCTGCAATTAAATATGGTATGCCTAGTATACTCAATTAAAATGCAATTTAGCCATGTACATTTGTCATATTTAATATGCCCAAACCTGTTTTCATCAATAAATTATACAATAAATCAGAGAACGCGCGCAATTTCACAATAAAAGTCGTGGTCATATATATAATTAGCACTATATTTATTAACAGAAACATGTGTAACAATTGACTATAAAATGACAATAAATGGAACAAGTAACCGCTTCTTATCAGCTCCCTAATCCAATCATGATGGCAATAAAAATATAGTTCAACTCACCCAAGGAAATCTTGTAGACATGTGTCACAAAAACGGTGCTTGCAGGTTGTAATTTGGACTGGGTCCTTTATCGGCAGATGACAGAGAGGACATTGGTGCCTCTTACGTACTTTATCAACAAATTTCATATTATAACCCGGCATTTTGGACGCCAATGTTTGAAGTACGCTGGACATAAAGAGGTTTGAATTTACCCCTAAAAATGCAGATATATCCTCGATAAAATTATACTATATATAGCAATATTAATACGCTTATTCCTAAGAAATAAAGAGATGCATCTTGAATCGAATATTGACATATTTAATATCTCGATCGAAATACTAATAGCTGCCGGAATGTTACTGAACTATTGAATTTTTTTCAGTAATTTTATCTACACGGCACAGAACTCTCATGCTCACCAACTTCAAATCACCGAGTACTAAAGTAGCTAACTTAGTTAGTAATTTATGAAGCTACCTTACAGGTTGACACTGGCGATTAACACTGGGCTAGCTCTGAACTTTACATATATCACTAGCTGTAATTATTCCACAGCTGCTAACACAAGTACGCAGCAACAACAAGTATTTGAACATTATATTGTTGTTTCGTTTCGCTTTCACACTTCCTGCATCAGCTTTCATGATAACAATGGATCTGCAGCAAGTTCCGACTGCGTAACATTAGGAAATCGCACCCCGTCAACAACAAAAGGAAGTGACAAATGTAAACCTGAGAAGTAACTGTCGCGAAAAATAATTTGGCATCTGAAAACACTATCCATCATTTAATGTCGACACACCTTTAGATATTATTTCACAAAGCGATCGCATCTTCGCTGTCGTTACGCCGCACAAAGCGTGACTAGCAAACCCGTACGTCGACTTTCTCATACGCTGCGAATATAATGAGAAACACCGAAGTACATAGTCCAAGTACGAGTTACCCAAAATTTCCCAACGCTTAGAAAGGCCCTAATTCACTAAACATGCGACGTTTAACTAAATAAGATAATAGTCAATGACGTTCGGAAATGTCCACTCCATTTTATTCGAATCACGGCTGGATATTTTTATAATGAATAAGAAGAAGAACTTGTTTGGCACTAGAAACTCAAGTAAACATACCCTTAAACTAACCACGATTACCTATATTTTTTAAAATAAGTTCATTTTATGTAAGAGGAGAAAGTACACAAACAGGCAGACAGTCTGCACCAAATGACTAAATATGCAACAACCCGCTGTGAGAGCAAAACCAAAATACCAGTGCTAGAGTTAACTCTATTAAATGTCTGCTTTCAGGCTATTATTGACATTTTTACGCTAATCACAGCTGGAGCTCCTTACAAGTCCACTACGTTTCTCTGCTATCTGAGGCTATTAAAATTCCCATGTGTAGTGTATATTAAATCCCTATTTAAGACATCCGGATGAGCGTAAAAAGCTACATAAATAACGAGCTTTGCAATTTTCAGAAACCCATGATAATCCGTTTCAAAATTAGGTCACCACCGCGCAAATAAATTGATTCCAGGTTTTGATATTCTCGCTTTGCGTCTCCAAGTGCTGAGCGATTCAAAGTATTAACGCCCCCGCCATTCTGTGTCTCAACACCCATTATCTCCACACACACGATAGGTCGAATAAATAATGAGCAAACACAAAGGATACGAGGGTGTGCATTACGATTCGCTGGCCTTTTCATACAAAGGTACCACGCAGCGTTTTACACACTACGCCTGCGCACTGTTTGTAATATTTGCCTTCGGGCGTCCCTTCTTCTTGTCAGTGCGTGACGAGCGATCGGGCGAATCCTTCGTTTGAGCTGAGATCAGCTGAGCGGGTGCGTATAGCTCGAAGTTCAATCGTGAATGCGATGAAATCCAACAGCGCCACCACAGTATCTAAAAAAAATAAATGCGATATCAAGTAGTACGGGTTTGGAATCTTACGCAGTAGACCGGTACTGCAGTCTTCATGACTTCGATTGGATCGAAATTCCAATTTCAACTTATTTTTTAGGTATATGTCAACCAATAAGAATGTTGCTTTCATGATTACAATTTCATATTATGGTTCCATTACATTTGAACCCACGTACATTTGAACCCATGACAATTGCACCTGTATGCTATTGCACCTATGGAATTTTTTTTGTTTCACGGATAGTTAAACCCATACTAACCCTAACCCATGGGTTTTAGCACCCGCATATAGATTGAACCCGTGGATATACGCATGGGTTCAAATGTACGGTCACCTCATATTTAGACTTACCATAAATCTGAAACAAAAAACCGGGACGGTGCGATTTGGCAAACATTCGGTTGATTGCCAGTCTTTGTAATATTGAAACGTCTACCGTGCCATTGCGGGTATATACGGCTATAAATCTCTATACTGATCATTGAATTAGAAAAATCACAAAAAAATAGTTTGTATTATTTATTTAGACCAAAAGTATTTGTTCGCAGATGGAACCCTTCTCAAAAATTCTTGTTTTGATTTTGTCCTAAAACTGATAACAAGAGACATCACCATTAAGTTTGCAGGTTACGAGTGCTTTTATATTTTCTTCTGGCATTCTGAACCTGCTTCCAGACCAGAAAATTTTAACAATGGAGAAAAAATCTGTTCAACAGATGCCGATGTTCCGGCAAACAAAATGAACGAGTTTTTGCAAATTCGAAATGCTAATATTTCTGTTAGAAAAAACGTTAAACATCTCTGTCCACTTAAATTCAACCGCAAAGTAAGCCAAATTGCATTTGGACCATGCTCGGATAAATATCTCTTTATCAGTATTCGTCGAAAAGTGCATCTCTATTCAAAACCTGACTAGCTAACCAAACATATCATTTATCAAGTTTGCAAACCAAACACTTTAGTCCAGTTTAAATCACCCTTCGAATTTATCCATATGTGGGGCCTGGGGAGCATTGTAGACTTCATCATGCAGCTCTATATACCGCAAACATTCTTTTTAAATACAGTTACATCGATTTCGCCAGAGCTTTCCAAGGATTCCAGAAGTACAAGTGATTGTGACGGAATTAACATTCTTCACCCTTTTTTCTTCAAATTTAGCTTCACCTCTGACATCTACGGCAGGGGTCGGCAACCTTTTGTCGTTCGCGGGACAAAATTAAGGGTTGCGAGTCATTGGCGGGCCGTACATATTTTTAGAAAGCTGAAACCGAACGGATGATACTTTTTATAATAAAAATCAAGCAGTAATACATCTTTCAAATAGAATATAGATTTATTTCCTCATTGCATCGCAAAAAATTGCATTTGAATATTTTCAGCGCCATTGAACCCTTTGCACTTCGCATCATTTTTCTGCGTTTTGTTGCCATTTGTCTAATTATAATTAAATTATAGGCTCATTAAACGAGTAGTTGTGAATTATATACTTGTTAGGTTATAATATAATTTAGTTTAAATCATATAATCGTCAAAACGGCTGTTTTGTTACTATAATTTAGTGAAGCGTCACGAGCCGGATTATAATAATTTTGTTGAAGTAGGTGAGCTGGCAAAGGACAAATTTTAAGTGAAGTTCGTACGCTGGAACATTTAAGCATAAGAGTAAGACATCCTTCTCGAGAATTTGAATAACTTATCAAGCTTTCAAACAGTTCCGTAATCCTTTGCAAAGCAGGTAATAAAGGGAAAACCCGAGTGTTGCCATGCTGTAATAGCCGTTGATACTCACTATCAACAAAATCGCAGTGCACTGTTGAACTACATGGTACGCACAATCTATACCGGTTATATTTCTTTTAATTTGGAAAAAAAAAGCATTATTTGTTCGTCTTTTTACGCCTCCAAAGTTGATGTTGCAATTATCCGCACAGAATCTAACAACTTTTCTGAGAAAAGAGAGCAAGTATTCAGTAAAAGTTTTGGCGGTTTCCCTGGGTAAAGATTTGAATTCTAATAGTTTTATCTTCACACCAACATCAGGTAAAAAAAAAAACGAACCACAACTGGAACAAGCTTTAAATTCTTTCTGTTTGATGCATCGAAGGTTACTGATACGAAACTGGTCTAAAGTAAATCATCATTAGGTTCAGAGGAGAACAGCGGAGCAATTCAATTAAAAATCATCGACTCTCATTTATTTCTGGCTAAACGTGCAAAATCAGCGAATCCGCTTATCAGACAGCGGACATCAGAAATTCTAACTGTGTATATTTAAAAGTTAATGCAAATTTAGGCTAAAAAAATCAAAATTAATTCAGAGGTGCAGTCAAAACTTTGTGTGATAGGCAAATGTCGGCTGCCAACGACAAAGAATCATCCGAATTTGTTATCGCAAAAAATTGGTCAGTCGAGTCGATGCCTCAATTAATGTTTTGTGCTTCCTGATTTGGATATGATCGTTGACATCAGAACGACCGTCTTGACTAATAGAAAAACAGATCTGCAATGCGTACAGTGTACCTTTCCTCCTTCAGTTTGCGCAAAATAAGGAAAATCTCCCTTCAACTCATTAGAAAATTTGTACTTTTTTTATGGCATTTCGACAACTTAACGGCATTGTAGTTAACGCCAGAAGACGCATTAAAACATATATATACCGATTGTGACATAACAATAGAGCAATTTTTCTCTCTCTGAACTAGCAAAGTGTGTCGCAAAACAGTGGTAAATGGGCTGTCACCATTAAAAAAAATTGTAACAATAAGGAATATGAATTTTTCACCCATGACAGCCGTGCTGACAAACCGGGACATTTGAGTCAACCGGCCGGGACGCCGGGACAGCTCGTCAAAACCGGGACTGTCCCGGCTAAACCGGGACGTATGGTAAGCCTACTCATATCATAACTTAAGTAGGATTACCATATTTTTTTTTCGACTTCAAAGCGGGACGCCTCCTGTAACTTTACAGTTTCCGATTTTACTGCATAGGCCTACGCCCTACATTTAAGCCATCCCGGCTGTCTTCATTGATCATAGAGTGTCATCGAGAGTTCATGCGCATATTCTATGGCTCTATGCTGTCTAAATACCAAGTTCAGTTCAAAAAATAGAAAGGAATAGACGCTAACGGCTAACGATACAAATGATCCGAATTTAGATTTTTTTTTATGTACAGCGGGAGGAATAAAGAATAATGAAATAGTCTGCCGTTTTGTAGCATTGAGAATTTACTTATTCGCCCGAGCATGCTTTTCTGTAGATAACACCTTTAAAAAAACGTTGTTCAATGTTACATACACGCGTCCGAACAGGACCAATTGGAATTGGTTTTACATGTGATACGTTCGCTAACAAT